GTTTATGAGAGTGGAATCAGAAAAAGCAAGGTGAGGAAGGACTGAAGAGATGTGCAACCAGTAGCAGGACCCAGCTGACAGCTGCCCTTCCTGGCTCCAACAGAAGCCACCTGCTTTTTGTCAACACAGTGTTCTAAGAAGCTTGTGATACTAATCTCTGATATTTTGGTATCATAGATTATCAGTTGCTTGTTTCTTTCTTCTTCCTTTTTGAAATACAAATGCACAGGCTAACAACAGGAGATATATCCATTAAATAATAATAATAAAAAAATAATAAAGAAAAAGGAAAAGAAGCAGCAAATCCCCAGAGGCGCTGACATCACCAGAAGTGAAGCATGCTCTACATCAAGCACATTAACAGTTCAGAATGCAAACCAAGTTCCTCTCATGGAATATCTTCTCTCCAGGTGCAAAGCTGAACTGTCAAGTACAGCTTCTAAAATTATACCTGTTTTGTCAGGTCCTACACATGGATGACAGGTTTCCAGCAGGAGGGCCTAAAGTGAAGTTATTATGTTAAATAGAGGTATCAAGTTGAAAGCAAAGATTAATGTCAGTTATCTTAGGAGAAGAAAAAAACCAAGTGGTTCCTTGAGAGCTTTTGAATTTTGGAAATTACAATGAAAAAAAAAAATTCAGCAAGACACAAAATGGCATCCAATACAAGACAAGTTTAGATGTGGTGAGAAGGGATGTAGTCAGTGGGGCTGTATTGGTGGTAGGTGGATGGTTGGACTGGATGATCTTAAGAGCTCATTTCCAACCTTGGTGATTGTATGCTTCTATGAACTAAGAATGAGTGTTTGGAAGCGCATGGGGAACTACATTTTTTTTCCCCCAACATGCACACAGGAGACAAACTAATAATAGAAACCTCATGGGAAACGCTGTAGTAGATCAAGAACTACAGACAAATCAGCTAAACCCAACAAATTTGGCAGAGAACGCTAATTGGAGACAGGAGTGGAAGGAGCTCTAAGAGAACTATCATTTAGGAGAAGGAGAACTTGGATGTTAATTGGCAGGATGACAAAATACTGCGTCAGCTGAGGAGCTGCATCTGTAATTTAAATGCATTCTTGAAGAGAAATTGTATTTTTACTATTTGGACATGGAAATGTTTCTTCACTAGACTGTACTGTGGTACAAACAATCAAAATGCATAGTTGAGTACTTATTAACTTCTAGAAAAAATTCTGAGAAACAAGCAAAAAAAAAAAAGAACCACAATAGAGCACAGTCTAATTCCATAACTAGAAAGCCTAAGCAAAATGCACAACAAATTAAAAAGCTAAACATCCAGAAAGTTCAAGAGGAAACAGTTGATTGGACTCCAGAAGTCATTAAAAAGTCTAACCTTCTATGAAGTTGCACATTCTCTTCTTTCAATTCATTTCCATAAGCATGTATTGAAGATTATTTGCTACATGATATAAACAAATGTGGATGCTACAGCTGAGAACATTTACAACTGCCCTAATGGCTTTGTTTAGAATCGTTTTTATTATGCATGAAGCCCAGAAAACACGTTGTCAATTCCATTGTCTCTGACAATAGCAACAGCTATTATTGAGCCATTAAATACAAACATTATCTCCAAGCTGTATGCCAATTTCTGAGTTTTCACCTTTTTAAAGCAGAATACGCTCCACAAAACAGCGTTATTTTTACAACCTGTATAAATCTCTCTGTTGAAATCAATTTAAATGTGTTGGGGTTTTTTTTTCCTAATCATTCTCAGATGATTTTACAAAGGTTTCCAATGTTTAGAAACAGGACTCGAGTTAAATAGCTATGAAAGTTTGTAATGTATATTCTAATATTCAGAAGTTACTGAAGCCTGGAATAGGAAGAAGCACAAAACACTGCACACACCTCATTATTCACAAGCACAGGTAAAGAGCTGGCCTGGCACCAGCAGCTTCAGAAGCTGGCCAACACAGAAGCTGTGTTTTCACATTGTAAAGGAAAGATTGCTGCAGGGAGCTCAGCTACACAGCACAGAGGTGTAAAGCTGAGGTGTGAGTTGGGGGGAAAAAGAACAAGCAGGGTGTAAATGCAGACTTGTGCACACGATCACTGCTGCTGCTGACCTGTGCAGGCTGCTACAGCTGCCAATGAGGTGACTAAGCAAGGAGTTGAGAAACGCACAGTCCAGAGTCTGAGAGCTCTGAAACTATTCAAACAACTTCAACAGTAGAACTTAAATTATCTTTTTTTTTTTCTTTTAATTATGAGCAGGTTACAAATATTCGTACTACGAAATAAGTCTCTAGCCTGATCTGCATACCTGATCTGCACAGGAGCACCTATCCACATGCATATGAAGCCATATAAATGAGGTGAGAGGAAAAAAAAATGTGAACGTTCCTAGAATGCCCTTTGGCAACATTTGCCAATTTGGAACAGCAGTCCCAGCTTTTGTGCCTACATTCAAATAGCACAACTCTGTTATCCAAATATCAATGTAAGGTGCACACACACACACAGTCACGGAATTGTAGGGGATGGAAGGGACCTCCAGAGAGCATCGAGTCCAACGCCCCTGCACTGCAGGCTCTCCACAACAGGCTGTACTAGTAGGCATCCATGAGTGTCTTGAATATCTCCAGAGAAGGAGACTCTAAAACCCACTTGGGCAGCATGTTCCAGTGCTCCATCACCATGAAGAAGTTCTCCTGCGCATTGGTGAGCAACTTCCTATGCTCCAAGTTATAGCTATTTCCCCTGTGCTGTCCCCACAAACTGCTGAAAAGAGGTTGGCAATGCTCCTTTGTCTCCCACACTTAAGATACTTACAAAAATTAGTAAGATCCCCTCTGGGTCTTCTTTTCTCAAGGCTGAACAGACCCAGTTCACTCAGCCTTTCCTCATAAAGGAGATGCTCCAACCCTTGATCATCTTAGTGGCCTTCCACTAAAAAAAAGATCTGTCTTTTTTGTACCGGGGAGCCCAGAGCTGGGTACAGTACTCCAGATGAGGTCTGACCAGGGCAGAATACAGGGGGAGGATCATGACCTGCTGGCTACCCTCCTTTTAATGCATCCCAGTATATCACTGGCCTTCTGGGCCACAAGGAAACACTGCTGGCTCATGGCCAAACTGTTCTCTACCCCCAAGCCCTTTTCTGCCGGAGCTCCTCTCCAGCAGGTCATCCCCCAAACCATACTGACACTCACTGTTATTCCTTCTCAGGTGCAAGACTCTTAAGTTTTTTTTTTTTGTTAAATTTCATCTAGTTTCATACAGCCCAGCTCTTCAGCGTGTGCAGACACAGCTAAATGGCAGCACAGCTTTCTTGCATCAGCCAGCACAGCATCAGCCACTCTTCCCAGCTTTATATCGCTGGTGTACATGCTGAAGATGGACACTATCCCCTTGTCACGGTAAATAAAGATGTTAAACAAAACTGGACCCAGCACCAACCCCTGGGCAACACCACTAGTCACAGGTCACAAGACTCTTCCCCCTGACATCCAACCTAAATCTCCCCTCCCTCAACTTCAAACCATTTTTCCTTGTTCTGCAGTTATCTACCCTTTTGAAGAGTTGCTTTCCCTCCTGTTTGTAGACTCCCTTTAGGTACTGAAAGGCTGCAATGAGGTCACCCCACAGCCTTCTTCATAGGTGAAGTGCTCGAGTCCCCTGATCATCTTTTTGTGGCTCTCCTCTGGAACCTCTCCAACAGCTCCCTGTCTTTCTTGTATTGGGGGCTCTAAACAAACAGTAAACAGAAGGAAACAAAAACCACTTTTTATTTTCCTTGCCACAATACACATCATATTTTCCAAAGCATTGCAGGCAGATGCAAAGTCATTTTGTTTCAAGCCTTGAGATCCAGGCCAGCTGCAGTTTTCTCGAAGTAGAAATACCCTCCTGACAGCCCATAATACTGAGCTGCAAGTGTAGGTCTGTCTGCTAATCAAAGAAACATCAAATTGAAAGTAGTTTACCAGTCTAAGACTTTTACCTTAGAAATAAATGATAGTGCCAGTTGACAGTTTTCCCCATGGAAAGCTTGTATTATGTTTTACATTACAGTACACCGAAGTTTCTTAAAACAGACCAATAATGGGTACTGATAAGCATCTACTCTCAAATCTGCCGTGCCAACACGTTTTGCCATTCAAGTAACTGCTCTAGGAGAGAAGCATTTATGTTGCCATGGGATACAGAACATAAGACACATCACGGGTCTACCAAGAAGAGAGAACTGAACAAGAAGCCACACCGCTCGCTCCCGCTGTCATGGCCTCGATTTACCTCGGTTAGCGCTTGAAAGTGTGACACAGCACATTTATTACCCCACACAGAACACGTCCCCACCACCGGCACGACTTCGTGCAAGGACTTGGGCAGTTACGTGACGACGGGCACGCGGTTCTTCTACTTCGCTTCAGGATCACCCGGGCGGAGTATCCGCAGGGCACCCCTCCCTTCCCTCTCCACAGGTAACCGGCAGAGCCCGCGCCGGCTCCCGGCTCCTCGCAGCACCGAGACGGGGCGAAACGCCGCTCAGCCTCTCGCTCGGCCCTCACTCGGCCGCAACCGCCATCTCGGCCACGCCGCAAGGGAGCACCCGGCGCTCCCTCCTATCACGTCGCGCTGCCAGAAGGCCCGGCCTTACCTGCTGCTCCTCGGGGAGGCGCTGGCGCATCCTCCCGCGGCGGTGAGGCGGGGTGGCGGAAAGGCCACTCACGGCGCCTCGGCCCCCGGCCCGACGATCGCTCCGCGGCCCGCAGCCCCGCCCCCGCAGCCTGGGGGCGGGGCTTCCTGCCTCCCTCACGCACGTCGGGATCAGCGGGACGGTCCGCGCTGCGGTCTCGGCCCCAACTTCCGGTTCCCGCCTCCAGCAGGGGGGCGTGACTTCCGGGAGGCCGCCTGAAGGAGAGGCCGGTGAGGGAGGCGGTCCCGGTTTGGCTGGGTTGGAGTGGGGATAGCGGAAGGGTTGAAGGCAGCAGTGCAGGTACAGGTAGAGGAGCTGGCTCTCTCGCTCGGAGCTGCGCTGTGGGACGTGCTCGTGATAGGAAAGGCTGAGACGAGCCGTCCCGGGCGTGCTTTGCGGCCCGATGAGGCGGCCGCCTTCTGCGTGTCCGTGGTGACGCTTGGACTTGTTGCACGGAGCTTGACCGGCCAACGCCCTGACAGCGCAGATGGCCCTTCGCTCTCCCTTTTCTCTCAGTTCTCATAAGACGACATTGGTGTTCATAGTGATGTTTTCTTAGATGTCCAGTTTCACTCTGAAATCTCCTCTCTGTGTTTATAGAGAAAAAGAAGCATCCCCAAGCTGTAAGGCCTGTTATTTTACTTGTTTTCTTTCCCAGTAATTGTCCTTAGGATAGGACAAGAGGAAATGGTTTTAAATTGAAGGAGGAAAGATTCAGGTTGGATGTCAGGGGGAAGTTCTTTACTCAGAGAGCGGTGAGGTGCTGGAACAGCTGCCCAGAGAGGCTGTGGATACCCCATCCATTCCTGGAGGTGTTCAAGGCCAGGTTGGATGGGGCCCTGGGCAGCCTGGGCTGGTATTAAATGGGGAGGTTGGTGGCCCTGCATGCGGCAGGGGGGTGGGAGCTTGAAGACCCTTGAGGTCCTGGCCATTCTGTGATCCTTAGTTCTGTTTTTCCTCCCTTCCAGATTTGCAGTAACGATTACGAAAGGTCTTTTGATTGTTGGCTGGTTTAATTTGGTTTTCTTTTTAACTATACTAATCAAGCTTTTGCCTTTTAGTGTGTTTCTGTGGTATGATTCCATCTTCCTGAGACCTTGGCGCACTCTGTGTGAGTACCTTCCAAAATACTGGGTTTAATGCTTTTTAAGATTTGACGTGTATTAATTTCCACCCCTACCATAGTTCTCCCAAGTAGAGCTTAATGGAGGATTGTTAACTAGATGCTATAGCACTATACAGTCTCTTCTTATTAGCTGAATCAGAAGTTGCAGCGCTAACTACTTGCTTCGTTTCAAGGACTGTTTTTTAATGCTGTCTTTCATCTCAATAGATGCAAGATTGAAGTGGTTCTGGCAATGCAGCCCTTTTTCTACACCACTTGAGTAAACTATGAAAATAGAATTGAGATTAAGATAGAATAATGTACAGCGAAGTTACAAAGCATATAAGCGTAGTTGAAGAGACAAAGGGATTGACACTTGAATGTACAAAGAAAGGGTTGGAGATTCATGATCTTTGAGGTCCCCTCCAACTCATTTTGTGATTCTTTGACCTGTTATGCTGGAAGACTGACTAATTACAGCAACTAAATCTCTTTTGTGTTTTTTTGCATAGTGCTTGAGTAAGGATGCCTTAAGAAGAAAACTATGGATAAATATATTAAAGTGCAAAAAATTGGAGAAGGATCCTTTGGGAAAGCCTTTCTTGTGAAAGATAAAGAAAATAGCCAGCAGTATGTTATTAAAGAAATTAACATCTCGAAGGTGAGTGATGTTGTTAATTACTGATCTACTGTTTTTATATTCCTGTTTTGAAAAATCTTTATTTCCTTTTGAAGATGTCAAACAAAGAGAGAGAAGAATCAAGGAGAGAAGTTGCTGTACTGGCCAACATGAAACATCCAAATATTGTCCTGTACAGGGAGTCATTTGAAGGTAAGATTAATAAAGTAGAGCCCAAGTTGGTAATGACTATGTACTGCATATGAGGTAAAAGTCAATGTTTTCTCTCTGTAACTGTTTTTTCATCCTTGTATCTCTTCATTTTTTTTCTGTTTATAGTTTCTTGCAGTTGCCAGGTTGCAACAGTTAAATATTGAGTACGTATTCCTGTCGCTTCTTCAGGTGACTCTGTTTTGGTTGATGCTTAAATGAAAGGTGTATGGGCACTGCTGAGTCAGGCCTGAACCTCTGATGGATCACCTGAGGTGAGCCGTGCGTCAGCCAGAGGAGCACAGCTGAAGGCAATTCACCTGTGCTGCAGGAAGGGGTGGAGCCTGGCTGCACCCTTCCTAGCCCTATTGAAGGGCTGGCTAGCAGTGGGGAAGGATCTCTTCTGGAGGTCTGCTTTGCTGGTGTTTTGTGAGTGAGCCTAGGATAGGGGTAAGCCTTCTATTTATTCTCTTTTTGTTACCATAGTCTGCTTTGCCTAACTCTTGTTTATTTTGTGATTATAATATCCTAATATTCTTTCCTTATACAAAAGAATTGTGCTTTTTTTTTTTTGGTTTTCTTGAGGATAAATTTCCTTGAACACTTGAGTGTGGCTTATTGGATGCATGTGTGTTAGAAAAGCACATGGCCTGAAGTTGGATACTGATGAACTGGCACAAGTGGTGTTACCTCATTACCTCACTCCCTAGTCAATAGCAGTTATATCATTACTTTCATGGGTAGAAGAATAGTGGTGATTACTTCATAAGCTGTAAAGGAAGGAGAAAGTTAATTCTACCTTATTTTCACAGTGACTGTTGTGGGGAATAAGCAGAACAGGTAAAAGATTGTGAGAGCTTATCGTTTAGAGTGATAATCCTGTTTTTTAAGAAGCCCTGAATATTATTTGAAATGCTGCTGAAGTGCACTGCTCTCGTATCCTTTTGTTCCTTCCAGCTGATTTTAAAAAGCCTTTTGACCTTGGGGTTTTAATTTTTTTCTGGTCATTAGGTGAGAATCATGTCATAAAGAGCAAAACCAAGGTCTTCTGATTTATAAATCTGTATTTCTCTGTTCTGTATATTAGAGGCCTGCTCTTTAGGACTGATTTTATTTGATTGTCTTTGCTTTTTACGAGGTAGGTTGTGTAGTGTGTAGTTCACTGGAGTTAATATTGCTTCTTTCTTGCTGGAGCACGTTGACTTGGAATGTGAAGTTAGTTTGGTTTCTGAAACGCATTTGTTTCAACATCGGGTCTGCAAGGAATCCAAACTCCTAGGATCGTCTGTAGAAATAACTCACATCAGAAATCTTGACCAAGATACAAACGTTTGTAAACTTAAAATTCCCACTGCAGTGTTTTAAGTCTAAATTTTCGAGGCGTTCTGTGGGAGACTTATGTGACTCTACTTGGAATGTAGAAGTTATAATTACTTAATGAATTTTCTTTTGAGCAGCACGTGATGCATACGTTCTTCTCCAAATGGTGTCTGATCTGTGAGTAGTGCAGGTCTTGAGTTTTAGTGGCATGTTTGAGTTTAAATTCATGAAATATTAAGATTTTCATTGATGTGCTGTAACTTGCAATGTGTTCCTGCCTTGCAATTGGTTCAGTAGTAGGTGGGAAAGCTTGCTTTGGGAACACAGCCATAGCTTTTTATCAGATTATTATGTTACTATTAGACGTATTATATGTGTTAAACTCTCATAGTGACAACTTGCATGGGATTTTTAAAAGTTTCCCTGGATTTCATGCAAAACTGAGACTTTGCCTGTTTTCATCATCATTGCCAGCTGTAAGTTTTATTACCAGACGTCGATCTCTGAAATCACATTCATGTCTGTGAGATGAGAGCTGGTGATTGCCAGTTCATATATGTGATACCTTATCCAGGTAAAGCTGCTGAAAGAGTTAGGAAGATGGAAGCAATTAACTGAATTGAATTTGCAGTTCTCTATTTTCAGGGCAGAGTTTCTTTGGGATGTTTGCATCAGCAAACAGGTTTGAGAATTGTCTTATCATAGTCATAAGGTGACATCTTTAATTTCATTGTAAATCAGAATGTATTGTAAGTAGAAAAAAATGTATTTTTTTTATTATGAGAGTTGCAGGAAAAAGACAAACCTTTACAGTGAAAGTTGCATTAAAGATGGGTAGTTTTCCTTTTCCTTTGCTTGTAATACTTAGTTTTATTTTGCAGAAAATGGTTGTCTGTACATAGTGATGGATTACTGTGAAGGAGGAGATCTCTTTAAAAAAATAAATGCCCAGAAAGGAGTCTTATTCTCTGAGGATCAGGTAATCAGCAAATTGCTGCCTTAGTGTTTTGATGCGTGATTTCTTTTCTGCATTAGTTCTAATTTTGGCTCAGATTGGTGGGTACTGTTTCTTAACCTATTTAGATAATTTCCAAACTGTGCTGGTCGTTGCCTTGGCCATGGCATTGTTTTTTATGTACCTTTTAAACCTACAAGATATTATAGCATAGGATTTTTGTTCTTTAATACTGAGCTCAATTTGTAAGAATTTGTCATTAGTTTATAAAGTGACGTAATAATGTAAGTTGACATTGTAAAACAGCATAATCTAGCAGTACAAGGGCTGCATAATTCCAAAGTATTTTTTCAGTATTGGAAGGACACCAGCAGACTTTCTTTCTTCATCACACATGTTAAGAAGTCACTTGTACAGTAACACAGAAGATAGAAACGCGCAGATGTGTTTCAACTAGGTGAAAATAGATCATGTGGGATTCAGGTTATTGGTTGTGTTTGATGTCTCCTTGCTTAAAGGTTATTTTTTATTTCTTGCTCTGTGTTTTATTATCTGCAGCCAGTAGGAGCACCTCAAACTCAGTTTACCTCTGGTTGGAAAGGCTTGTAAGTGTTAGGTCTAGATCTGCTGGTGCAATTTAGAGTAGGGTAATCATGAAACTTCTTAGGTGTAAGTTGTAGAACTTTTCATTTGCTGCTTTGGACTCACTTACAAGAAGAGTTTAAAATGGGAAAGTAGAAAAAAGTACCTTAGATTATACTGTGATTTTGACATTTATGTGCTTGTAAGTTGGGTACATGAAAGCACTGTTCACATGAAAAAAATTCTGCTGCTAGACCCTTTGTGTGTTATGATGTATACAGATTACCAGAAAATGTGAAGGTTAATGCTTTGTTTGTCTGTTTGTTGCTTTTTCTCAGTGAAATCTGATTTGTACTGTTTTTAAGGTAAAATACATAAAACATGCTTGCACTGATTAGAGCAAAAGTAGAATCTTTAAGATGCACGTTCCTTGTTTGGAGCATTTTTTGCCATTATAGTTTGTGTTGTATGCATTTTGATTGCTGTACTATATGTAATCAAGTAATAATTTGAGGCTTAGCATCTAACTTGGCTACCACGCGTTTCTATATGATGGTGCCAGTACTGCTAAGGCCTTAATGGAACTGTGACATAAATGGAAACGGGCTCATGGGTAAAAAGGGTAGAAAAGAAGGTAAAAATTGTATAGAACTGATCTGATAATGTGTTCAGTAATGTTGACTGGAGAAACTTGTAGATAAATCAAGTTGCTGATGTTACCTTTTCTCTTTCGTGCATAGATTCTGGATTGGTTTGTACAAATCTGTTTAGCACTGAAACATATACATGACAGAAAGATCTTACATCGTGACATCAAGTCGCAGGTACGTAGGCAATCTTTCTTGAAAACTGAATTCACTTGCTAAGCGATTACAATCTGGATCTTCGTGGTGGAAGTTGGCAAGTAATTGAAAATAATCTTTTTACACGATGTAAAATTATTTTAGTACTGGCAATGCTTTTTTTTTTTCTTCAGAATTGTACAGAGGTAGTTTAAATGGTATTTTTACTAACAGAAAAGAAGCTATTTCAGTGTTACTGGCGTAGACTTCTTCTATCTCCACAATTAATTGTATTTTAGACTGTTCAGCAATGTTTTCTATAGTTATGGTAAAACAGGACGAGAACTGGAGTTTTACAGACACTAATGCCAGGGACTTCAGTGTAATTGAATGGTAGAAAACATGATTTTTAAAACATGCTGAGAACAAAGTGTGCAATTGTACGAATGTTCTGATTAACAGACTTCTTAAAATTTCTATGCCAAGAACATATTTTTAACCAAAGATGGAACAATACAGCTGGGAGATTTTGGAATCGCCAGAGTTCTGAACAGGTAATTCTTTTTTTTAATGCTGATTTCTCTGAGATCACCTAAATTGCTTTGATTTAGGGTAATGTAATCGGTGCGTTTCACGTGAGTTAATGCTCACCCTTACTTTTTCCTTAGCACTGTGGAACTGGCTCGCACTTGCATAGGAACACCGTACTATCTATCTCCTGAAATATGCCAGAACAGGCCTTACAACAATAAAAGGTACTAATATTTACTTAATATTTGTGCTAAGGAGAAGAGAGTCCTTTAGAAATACAGAGCTCTTCTATTCATATGATGATGATAGTTCATCTCTCACCTGAAAAGACAGCCTCACCTGCCTCAGGCAGGACCTTAGTAGATTTGTGTGATGCGAAGCAGCATGATGTGGAGATGACTTCACTTAGTGCTTTGGCTTATAAATCTAAGCTGACATCTTTATTATGACTCTGCTTTTGCCTGTGTACACACTGCTGTCTTAATTTATGAATGTGAAACCACATTAAGAAAGAAATACGAAGGCAGTAATTGGATTGCTTTTAAGCACGTGCATGGGTAGTAATCTTTCAGGTAGTTTGCTTCTACATTTATTACCTTGGCAAGTAGGTCCTATATGGTAACAGTATCCCTAATGTAATGCAAGTGTTCAGTATCTGCTTAGTCTTACTCTACATTAAGCTTTTAAAATAGGTTCATTTTTGTTACTGTTTGCTAAAAAGATAAAAATGATTATATTCCCTTGTCTGTTCGTTTCTTTTACATGGGATTTTTAGTCCAGTTGTATTCAAAATAAATTCTGCAGTCCTCTAGCGTGGGTAATGTAACCCAAGTGTTAAACAGTTTGTTTAGTTGAATCTAAGATTTGTATTTGCTGTGTAGAGTAGTGGGTTGCTTTTCCTAAATTAAATTTCAAAGATCTCAAGTAAATACGTACATTTAAAGAAAATAGACCTTTATCCAGAGTTGGTCTGGTTTCTCTCAGCTCAGTGGTGCAAATGAAAAAGTATAAAATCTGAAGTGAAAAAAACCCTGTCTGTTTTTTCAGGTTGGCCTCAGTTTGGATTGCTAATTTTTGGTTGGTTGGTTGATGAGGTTTCGTGCTTTGAGGAGTAGAGGATGTACGTTCACGGGAGGCTGTGATTTATTCAAAATATCCCATTTCCTTTTCAAAGGTTAAGTGTTGGTAAATAAGTTATTTGGCAGTGTTAATCCCACAACAAACTCAAGGTTGTGTTCTTTTTGTTCTAGTGATATCTGGGCCCTTGGTTGTGTTCTCTATGAAATGTGCACGCTTAAGCACGCAGTGAGTAGAAACTTCTTGCTTCTTTGAAAGGCTTCCTGCTGTTTTGCAGCTGTATTTCTGTTGATTCAGGGCTTTCATGGTGACCATTTAAAACTACCTTCAGCATCTTAGTTTCCTATACTTGCAAAGAGTTGCTGCGTTTTGATTCCTGCTGATCTCTTGTAATGTTTTGGTTTGTTTTTCTTTTTCCTGCTTGTAAGGTAGATATTCAGTGAGGTTGAGGTAGCTGAGAAGATGTTGGGTGTGTTAACAAGCAGTGCTTTTTTCTTTCTGAAGGCTTGCTATTTTCATTGTAACTGAGAAGGCCTAAATTTTAACTGCCAGCTTTTGTGTAGGTGGATTTGTATGCTTCCATTTGGAACAGTCATAGTTTTTAGAAAGAAACTCTGAAGAAGTTGCTTTTTCTTTTTTTAATTTGATTGTTTATCAGTCATGATGGGAAGGAAAAATATGTTCGATAAACCAAGTCGACAAAAAGAAATAACTATTTTTACAGAAAGAAGAGTATAATGTGTCACTTTGAGGGGGGAAATAAAGGTTAGGGCATAAAGCTAACATGAAAGCTTTTGCAATTGATTGTTACGTAGTCTTTTCTGAGGCAGCAGTGTTGATGGAGAAGTTGCTTCTCTGAGGGTTGATAGCAATTTGTTTTTTGTAAGGTGGGTGATCCATGCTGTTTTCTTTTAACTGTTCTAAGGAGTTGAAATGGTGCGTGCTGCCTGCTGAGCTCAGGCTAGTCTAAACATTCCTTTGGATTTCACACTGAACGACTGTGAATGCTTTACATTCTTCCATGTGAAATGCTCTGTTCTAAAGAGAGCTGAAGGTGGGAAAGTTCAGGAGATGAGAGAAGATGGAGCAGATACAGTTAGACCACTATATTTATACTTATCTGCGTATCACTATTAATCTACATCTGGGGGACAATAAATATTTGCTTGTGAAGAATATATAAATATGGTATGAAATAGCTGTAGTGCAATACATTAATGTAAAAGTGGTGTACTTGGCAACAAATTATTTGCAACTGTTGATGAAAACTGTTGATGACCTTGGAAACTGACTTGGATGTGCCCAGGCAGAAGAAGCTGTGGGCTTTTTTGTTTGACTGCTTCTTCTTTTTTATTTCCCCTCACCTCTTATGCAGCTTTACATGTAGGCAAGCAGTAACGTGTTGTAACTGTCTGGTTTTCTTACATGATACAGTTTGAAGCTGGTAACATGAAGAACTTGGTACTGAAGATCATCTCTGGATCTTTTCCTCCGGTTTCTATGCATTATTCCTATGACCTACGTAATCTACTGTCACAGTTATTTAAAAGGAATCCTAGGGATAGACCATCAGTAAACTCCATATTGGAGAAAAACTTCATAGCCAAACGGGTTGAAAAATTTCTCACGCCACAGGTATGGAGTTGGTTTTCATTAAATTTGGCTAAGACATCTTAGAACTATTCTTTATTCCAGTGTCAGTATAGAGTATGAGAAGGTGGAATAATGGTATTTCCTAAAGCTTTTAAGTGAATTTTTTCACTTGAGAGAAGAAAGAGTTGTTACTATGAATAACAAAGAAATAAAATGAACGCAATCTCAACTTACTGAAGTATTTGGAGGCTTCAAACAACTTTAAGTTGACATTATCTTAAGAGTATTATTTTGTATGTCTTTGTATACGGGGAAAAACTTTGTGTCAGATGTCCATTTGATTATATATGCACCTCTCTCATGAAGTGGCATTGTCAATATCTCCAGCATCAGATCTTTATTATCATTTCTTCAATCCTTTTGTTGTTTGCAATTTGGAATGACCTGGAAGCTTGTTTTGTGAGATATTGCTAAGTAAACGTGATGGTTGAATTTCCTGTATACGTAACATAGAAGAAATTACTGAGTATTTTGTTTTGTATCTACTGATATTTTGACAACTATTTGAGCTATTTTAATGTAAATCTAATCAAAAGAGATGAAGAACAACGAGCACTGATGTATGAGGTAAGTACAGGAAGAGAAAGGACATGGAGAGAATTGATGCAAAAGAAGACCTCATTAAATATAAGTAATTCTGACGGAGTCATTGTAACATAAAGAAGTTTTGGTAGAAGGCCGTATGTAATTGAAATTCCATTTGTATGTGGAATAGACTTTCAACTTATGATAGTTCATAGTCAAGTTCCAGTGAAAGGCCAGAGTCAGAAGTCTTCACAGCACACCTGTAAAAATAGTAGAAAATCTGTCTTTTAAAAAATTAAAGGCTTGATCAGACTCACAGCATCTAGAACAAAACTTTTGTTTGTGATTAGTTGGAACAGTATAATTGGTGATAGACTGCTACCTGACAATGTCAGTATTTTCTTAGATTGAGTCCAAATATTTGCACACAGTTTTGACAACTGAATCACTGATGTGCTCAGATTTAAAAGATCTGTTAAGACAGAGAAAGAAATGACCAAGAAATGGCTCTTAGTAAATGTGTTGCTAACTGCTGTATACATGTGCTGTTGTCCTCTGCTTTCCCTGGTCTGAGCTGAAGAGATCCTTTGTGGTTCTGTCACCTGCAAACATTACAGCTGTTGCTGAAATGCTGCTCTTAACTGCTGGAAAATCAGTCTTCCATGTTTATATAAGTTCTTTCTTAATTTTCATAGTCGCAAGTCTGCTACCTGTGACAGAGCAGGTACACATTTCATACACAGCTTTGATATTGCTTATTCTAAACCTTCCTCCTTGTCCTTGGTTGAATTCTATGCTTTTTATATTGGGATTATGATTTCTGCTCTTTTGTGTTTCTTTGCATAATCCCATGTAGTATTCTAGACCTCTGTTACACTGCATGACATCTTTTTACAGGCTGAAGAGCTAACTTATTCTTTGTACTGAAGGTTTTGTATGCTGTTTAATATTCTTACTACTCTTCTTAGAAACTTTTCCATCTCTTCTACTTGATTTTTGAGATAAGGGATTCAGAACTCTTTGCAGTATTGAAGATGATGTATGAGGATAATCTATTTATGTTTAAATGTTTTGTCTATAGTCAATGTATTTATTTCAGTAAGGCTGTTTTCTAAAGCTTCTTTATGCTAACCTTTTGTGTGTGACTGAACCCCATGTATGTTATTCCCAGATAAGCTATGTATATATGTATCTCATATATGTCTTCCCATCTTGGAAAGCATAGAGAAGCTAAAATCTGCAGACATTTGACTGTGCTTTGACACAGGCTGTCTGAGAGAGTGAAGTGAAATATGAGAACTGTACCATAATCTAGAACAGACTGTTCATAAAACTCACGGTGATGAACACTTCAACTTCATTCTAGTTTCTTAGTTAGGTCATAGTTTGGGTAACATGCAACCTGAAAAGCAGACTAAGTAGTTAATTAAAATGATTTTATTAATATTTCTATTTTGAATTAACGATTCATTTTGCTTGGAGAAAAGAGGGCTCCAGGGAGACCTGATAGCAGCCTTTTGATATTTAAAAGGATGCTAGAAGAAGGAAGAGGACAGACTTTTTATCAGGGTCTGTTGTGATAAATCAAGGGTGAATGGAAAGGAGAGATTTAGACTTGGATATTAGGAAGAGTTTTTTTACAACACAAGTCATGAGGCACTGGCACAGGTTGCCAGAGCAGTGGTGGAAGCCCCATCCCTGGAGACCTTCAGGATCAGGCTGGATCAGGTTCTGAGCACCTGATGTAGCTGTAGGTATCACTGTTCATTGCAGGGGGGACCAGCTGGTGTTCAAGGGTCTTTTCCATCTCACATGATTCTATGCTTCTGCACTGAAAATGTTTGAAAGTAACAAATCCAACTTCATTCCAATGCTAGTGATGGTACAGTGAATACGTAGTTTAGTAATGAACTTACTGTTCACGTATGGTTTTAGTGAATAGTAATAGATAGAAATTGAACTGGAAGAGGGATACAGAATTTGTAGAAAATGAGTTCTTTCTAACTTTGAGCATAAATATTCTTGGCTAACAGTTGAACTCTTTTTAGCTTATTGCAGAAGAATTCAGTCACAAAACGTTTCACAAGTTTGGACCGCATGCTGCGCCAGGTAAGTATGTATGTATGAAATGCTTTAACTTAAGAATCCAGCAAGATAATTTGCCTATGTATGTTCTCGTGTTGGTTTTGGTGTGTTCTTGTAACTGATTGTAGAAATTTTGTGCAGAGAAAAGACAGGGAAGCAGTTTAGTATGTTATTTTCTTTTTGTTTTCCTCAGTGGGGAGCTGGATGTTCACAGGGAACAAACGATGGTGATGCAGTCCTTGAGCTTTTGTAACATTGTAGGTTTCCTTTTTCCTCTTGGACTATGTTGTGCTTCTGAAATTTAAGACAGTGGGAACTGCAGATAGTAGAAACATGTTGTTATTGTACTCTTTTTTTGGCCTTATTACTGACAGCCAGGTAATGAGAAATCCCAGACCTTATTATAAGTGGGAGGCTTTGAGGTTTTTTTGGGGACTCCAAGGTTACACCCTGACTTCAGCCCAGAGCCAGAGATTTTTTGCTATTGGTGGCATATGAGATTGCGGCTTACTTTCTCACGACAGTCTTGTCATGTTTTCCTACAGCAGTTGGTTTACACTTTTTTTCTTAGATTTCTGTTTCTTTTACTTTCTTGAAATTATTTGATAGTATGTTTATGTCCTTTATGGCTGTTCTCCTAGTTCTGGAGTTATGAGAACCCTCCTAACCACAGAATCAAATTCATAAGATGTAATTGGCTTATTTTCAGGAACTTCTCAAGAGAAATGATATGCCTAGAGATCACTGAAAGTGCAGTTGTTTTAAAACTCATCTTGTGCTGAGCTGAGTTTTGCTGGGTGCAGTGCAGTGCCTCTTGATTATGTTGGGAAAACTGTTCCCTCTGTTCGTAGCAACTGGGTAAAAAAAAAAAAAAAAAGAAATCTAGCAGCTTGAGTAAGTTTCAGTTCTCCAGTGGTGAAAGTGAAAAGCTCAGGGATTGTGTTCTGCTGTTTGTTATTAAACATATTAATTAGAAGAGCTGTTTTGGATACCTGGATGTATTTCATTTATACAAGCAGCTCACCTGAACGAAATGTTAGTTTATCTGTTCTCCTCTGAATCTGCTGTTCCAGTACGTAGGGAAGGGGATATACAGTGTACTGACTGGCCTGGACATAGCTGTAAAACAGTCTCTTCTTGTTAAGCTAAAAGACCAGCTCAAGGACAAATCTCGGCTTCAATTGCACCAGCTCAGAAAATTACCAAACCTGCTGCAAAATACGGAGTGCCTTTAGCGATGAAGAAGTGTTATGACGCACCCAAAAAGCATCATGAGAAAAAGTCATTGATTAAACTTAGGCAGGTAACTAAGTTACTTGAATTGAACTATTTTGCAAATGCTTGTATTTGAATTGTATGACAATGTTATGTGTTACTTTTCAAAATGTCACTTAGATGAACAAAGCATCTAGAGAGGAAATAGTATTCTAAGTGCTCGTCTTGCACTGTTACTGATTTTTTTTTTTGTTCATTTTGGAGGCTGCTACTTTAGGCTTGCTTTCTAATTCCACGAGTGAGTTAGGTCTGCTTTGCATATGTGGTCAGCTTCTCTGATGTTGACCTGTTTTGGAAATGCTGGTAGCTGGTTAGATAGACAAACAGCATTGGTGCAGCATAAGAGTCCTGGCATATTTCTGCAGTGTTCGAGAACTATCTCCCATTTTCAAACTTAAGTAGGCTTACTGGTAACTTTCTAAAGCGTTGTCAACCAGAGAAATTATGTAATTGGAAAAGAGTTTGCCAGACTTAATTCTGTGAGCTAATGAAAAATGGGTTTTTATACAGTACTACTTATCTTCTTTTTTCCAGTCATCTTTCTCCGCACTCCCTATTACGTGAAACTGTCTGTGTATTCCTTAATTACTGAATGACTGGCAGATGCTTCACGATACAACCAGTTAGGCACATTACAAGCAACTAGTAACCAGGGAGCTCCCACATCAGCATTTTCTACTCTAAGCCTGCAACAGAATTCAAATTGTCTTCTAAATAAGTGATTTGCTTGTTTGTTTCATTCTCCTCTTAGCGTTTTGGGAAGCATAACACTGAAATTACTGTCTACAAAATTTGGTGTCGTATCTGATAGATGGACAGAAAATGAGCCACGAGATAGTGTTTCCCTAATCTTCCTGTAACCTCTGAATCTTTTGAACTTGTACCAGTGATCCCCACAGGCTTTATTTGTTTATGATGTGCAGCTGGAAAAAGAGAGCAAGAGTAAGCAAACACAAAAAATTGTATCCTCATGAAGTCATGATGCTTTTTCCCATTTAAAGCCTGGTTGTGCAATCACATGCTATTCTGTTGCTGTTTACAATCAGTTTCACCAACCAGCGCTGAAGCAACTTGTACAGTGACTGAAAGTCCTTGTTATGGCAGGGTGAAGACTGAGGAAAAAATCTTGTACTGCAACTTTAAGATAATCCTTTGTGTGGAGTGTACGTAGTAGCAAGGGGTAAGATATAGGCTAGAGATAATGGCTACAGCATTATACAAGTTTTATCCTCCCGGATGTTGTTCCAGGCTAGCTATGCAGGTCACACGTGGATTTCTAATGGAACATGCAGCTTCATTGCTTGTTTAGTGTTATTACATGAATGCACAGCAGTTGAATTTGGAATTGCCTAGAAGCCTTTTAGAGACTTAAATCAGTTGTTTGAGATACGTGACAAGTACTGATCTGATATAAATTGAGATTGTCAAAAGAAAATCTTATAAAGCAAACTGTGTTCTTGTCGAGTTAGGAAAAAAAGGCTTATTATGTATAACTGTTGTGTTGGATAGTGTGGTTTTGTTCCCATCTTCTGTGGGTAACAAGACAAAGCCTAAGGATAACCTAATAAATTTGTTATCCAAATAAGAGACAATCTTAATTTCTTAGGACTGTCAAAGACGATGAAAATATAATAATGTTTCTGCCAGCGAAGGAAGTTTGAGTCGAGGAGATCTTAAATTATTTTCTTCAGCATTCAAGATGGAGCTCTTTGCAGTGGGTGAACAAGTATGCTAGTTTTTACAACCTCCCAACTAATGACTTATTTTAAACCCAATTTTGCACATGCCAAGATGTGGATTTTGTGTTCTTCTAGTTTTTCTCTTGTTCTAACATTGTGCTGTCCTAATTTTAAGTTTCACCTTTTATCTAGGCCTATCCAACTCCAAAGAAGAAAATTATTCCAGGAGAAGAAAGGAGGAAAATGTTTGAGGTATCATGAAATCTCACGCTAATTTTCAATCTAAGCAAAAGCTGAGTCCAAAACTTAAGAATTTGGACTTTGAAGAATGACAGAATGAAACTTCGAACCTTTCCTCCTTATCTTTTTTTCCCACTCATTATCTAGCAGTGTTTTTTGTCTTCTTGGACATAACCAGCAAGTGGAGTACTAACCAATCTTGATAGATGCTTCGCAGAACAATGGCTGAGCAATAAATACTAAATTATATGCTTATTTTTCAGGAACCTTCAAAAAAGAAAAGGTTAGAATTGCCTGAAAAAGAAAAACGCCAGAGAGATCAGGTAGACCAGATACTTGGGATGCCCTTTTAATTTTTTCTTTAAACACCCATAGTAATTCTAGTGACATGTGTTGTGTTGCCTAGGAGATGGCAGTAGTTCAGTTTCCCAGTTACTAAATATGTTTAATCCTTATGCATTGCAGATCAGTTTACTGAAGGCAGAGGAAGTAAGAAGACTGGAAAAAGAAAGGGTAAAATATGTTTAAAATACGTTAATAGCGAATCTTAATGTTTTACTTAAAGGGATTCCTTGAATTATGTTTTCCTTTATTGTTTTTTTTCCTTCAGATGGAACGAATAAACAGAGCCAGGGAACAAGGATGGAGGAATGTGCTTGGTTCAGCTGGAAGTGGTGATGTTAAGGTTGGCAGCAGATGCAGAAATGTGACGTAGTTTGCTCCTCCCACCTTTGGTTATCTGGCATGATCTTCTCTTTTCAGAAAGAACTGCTCTTGGATTCAGCTCTTGAAGTTGCTCTCTATTAAACTAGTGGTAATTTAAGAGAGAAGTCTGTGTAACTGACTTCCTGGCCTTTTCGAGATCTTGTGCCATTTTCATTTTTAATAATTAATGATTTCTGAATCTCTTCTCTTTCTACTAGTAATGATTTTCATGCATCACTTTTTTTTTTTTTCCCCACTCTTGCTTTCGCTGCTTTTCCTAAATAAATGCATGAAGAGCTTCTTTCATATTCCAGTTTGTTCTTGAAACTTTTTGTTGAAATATCTTTCTAGGTTCTCATATTATTATAATGGATTTTTTCCCCAGTATTGAAAACATGTTTTAAGCTTTTGTTTTTAGTTAACAACATAATTGACGGTTCCATTATCTGTGTTATGTTGTCTATGATAGGTGAGAAAATTTGAGTAAGCATATCTTTTTCTCAAAGCTGTGAGCCCCTTAGTTTTTTCATTTTTATGGAGTTAAGTTATATAATTTCATGCTATTTTTGTGACAATTTCTTAGTCTGTATATCTCTTGCTTCCATGGAAACATAACTGTTCTGGAAAGTAGCATGATGAAGGTATTTGAAGATAGGACTCTTGGACTTGACTTTCATCAGACAATTGGCAGTGAAGAAATTCAAATACTGCCACGTCAAGTAAACCAAGATAACTGATTTACATCAAGTATGCTGTGAATCTATCTGATGACATGAAGTGGGTTTAAATGCAGCCATTAGTTATGGTGCTGGTGAATCCTACAAAGATATTGGCCTTAAATGTGTTTAGCTCAGTTTTTATAAAGGAACTCTGGCTGAACACTACAGTCAAAATGAGAGGAGGTTTTGTATAAGAAAATAGCAAGGAAATGGAATTGCACAACCAGGCTTCAGTAGCTGCTTATCATAACTATAGTTCAAGATTGACACCCCATTTTGCTGCATGCCACGCATTGTATAAATAAGCTTATATATAGAAGCAAGCATAAAAATATCAGTTTCAAAACTACCAGGCTCTGGTTTAATGGGAAACTGAGAAAAGTTGTTTTTCACATCTCTCTGTCCTTCTCTCCGTCAGAATGGTGTTGGCAGTCATCCATACAAGGGCTCCGTTACAACATGATGTATAAGCATCATGATATTTGGTTTGGAGATTGATATATTCCTGAAAATGACCGTGCCTTAGATTAGATTGGAGAGTTTTATTGCAAGGGCCTTAGACATAAGAAATACAAAACATCCATCACTGTCTTCCAGTGTTCTTGGTCATGTACAGAAATTGAAGTTCAGTGGCTGTGTATTTTTTCACAAAGTGCCGCTGTGAAGTATCAAAGCAAACAGATTGTGTGTATATATATACATACACATAACTGTTTGACATATGTTCTTCAGGTTAGTTTTGCACAGCCCTTAATGCAGGCCACTAAGTTACCATCACTCAGGGTTTTCATGTTCTGTCAGAGTAGTTCTGATTTGTTTTCTTTCTTTCTCCTGCACATAAGCAGTGCAGTCAGTGACACACTGATGATGCTGTTAGAGTATCGGTATTCAAGCATTCTGAGACTGCAAGCCACATAGTCCCTGATGAAGGCGTAACAAGGTCTGCACTGCATTATTTTTCCTCCTGTTGTTTTTTGTTTTTGGAGTGGCACCTGTTTTTGAGGGAAAGTAGGGAGAGAGACATCAAGGACTTGGCTTTGGATTCTAGCAGGGACTGCAACTGTTCTGCACGTGGTTGATGAACGCCTGCTTCTGAACTGTTTGCCTAGAGATTGATCTTAATATTTCTTCTGATGATCTTTTTGAAAATACGCATAGTAATTATAGGTGAAACCCTGAACAGTGTCTAAGGCAAGGCTTTGCATTTTATTTGTATAATTGGCTGTCTTTTGTAACAAATCACTGTTATCTAGAGGAACAGCATACCGGCATACTTACTTGAATGCCTAGATTGATTTGTTTGCTTTTTATCGTATGGGTTACAGGGAACCACTGATGTTTGACAAACTGAAACTCGGAGTGTGAATAAAATTCTGTTATCAAATACGGACTGATGCAGATCTTCTGCCTGAACCATCCTAAAACTGTCACATCTGCACTGTCTTATTTGAAATGTGAAATAATTTGGAACACTTAGAGTATTGAGCATGCTGTAGGTTCACTACCATGGGCTGCCTGATTGACCAGTTACCCACGTGTGAAGAGAACATTTTTGTGCATGGCAACCTTACCTTTGTTTTGTCTGTTTCATGCTTTCTGTATCTATTCTTGACTATTACTATACACAGCTGCTTACAACATTTTCTTGACTGTTATTTTGACATGATGGTTCTCCAGGAATTCCAGGTCTTTGTAGACGACAGAGATCATTTTCATAAAGCTCTAATCTGTGGTAACTGTTTGCCTGGTCTGAGCTTCACTAGGGAAGCCTCTCAATTTTGGTGATGCAGTGAAGTTATAGATAGCTGAAAATGAGGAGTCTGAGATAAATTTATTACTGTCCTTCAGCAACCTTAGAGACATGCTTTACCATTTGTGGCATTAGTAAAATATGGATGTTTGGATAGCTATCATTCATTAATTCTGCAGTTAGTACTCTATCACTTCTAACTTTTTGCATGCTAACCTAATTTTTTTGTTGTCGAACATCTGCTATTTCCAGTTATGCTTCAGCAGGTTCTTCACTGGTAACTTGCTAAATATGTAGTAGATGTCTCATGTATAATAGCCTAGAGAGAGAAAATACTGTGTTATTTTGGAGTACTAGGTGAAAAGTAAGTTTTCATTTTCAATTTATCAGTCGTGTAGTAGATTAAAATAGGTGAATGCCAAAATTAAACTAGGACCAGTTGAGAATGATTGCAAAGCATATTAATACTTTCACTGTGCTGGAGTGGAGAAAAATTGAAAGGGCTTGTTAAAACAGTACTTGAGATTTTCAGCCTACCTCTTCTGATTTTCAGGCACCGTATTATGGCGGTGGAGGTGGTGTTGGTCCTTTTCCTGCCTCTTTGAAAGGACAGTATGAGCACTATCACGCTATTTTTGACCAGTTGCAAAAGGAAACCTTCAAAGTAACTAAAGAGAGGCAAGCCAAATGGAGGGCGGAAGTACAAGGCCAAGAAGCTGCTGAGAGGTATGGCTACCTTCCATGTGATATTGCATGTGGTCTGCTTCAGATGAAAGTAATGAAAGTTACTGTACATATTTATCTACAGAGGAATTCCACCTGGAGTACGTCCAGGAGTTCCTAAGGGGCCTGCAGGTCATCACCATTTACCTGATGCTGATGCAATTAGGAAAAAAGTGAAAAGGTTGAAGGAGGTGTCTAAACAAGCCAGTGCAAACAGGTTGGGCTACGATAATCCATAAATCTGTCCCTATGTGTTAGAATTTTGTTCTATCTTGTTCCATTTAGTAGTTGGACATGTCTCAGAATCATCTTTATCCATTGGTAGCGTGCTGTCTGTTTGTGTGTTGATCCCTCACAGACCACAGTACTTTCAACACCAATGGAAACCTTGGCTCTCCCTGTAGGGGAAAAAAAAAAAAAGATTACCAATTACCTAAGCTAGATTTAAGCTAAAAGGACTGGCTTAATGCAGTTGCAGTCTAGGTAAAACAGCCTTCTTGGCTTTTTTCTAGTTCTGACTTCTGTGTTACGTGCCAAGATGCTTCCTTGTCTTGTCATGTCATTCTGGCTGCCTTTTTTCCATCTGAGCATTTTTATTTTATTTAAGAGTACGTAGAAAGTTCTCGGCACTTCTAGCTTATGTGTATTGACCAGTGGAAAACTGGGGCTTTCTTCATCAGGAAATGTGAGTGCTAGATGTTAAAATGATACACAATTTATGATTTCTGTGGTACTTACTCTTTGCACTAACCAGGAAATGAGTGTGTATTGTATGTATTTATAAAAAAAAAAAAGGCACATCTACATCTTTCAGGTTAATTGATAACCTCTTTCAGATACTGGTGCTCTTTCATGTTTTTGTTTGTTTTCCAAAACTGTTATTTTCCTTGAAATCTATTAGTAACTTTAGAAAGAATTATCTCCACACTCTGTAATGAAAAATGGAGAAACACATGCTTAAAATTTTAGTATTTCAGCATTGCTTCAACGTTGTTCTAGTATTCTTAATGGCAAGCTTTTTTCTTATGAATTACTTGAACTTCTGTGCATCACAAGTAGTATTCTTTGGTGGCAGAAATAAATGGTGTTCAAGTGAGGAAAAGGAAGTGGCCGAAGAACACATTTTTCTTAGTTTATTCTAAATTGATTAATTCAATTTGAAGTTTTATACTGTATATATTTAGCATTCTAGATTATATACTATATATCCAGTCTTCTACATTTGTCTGGTTTATATATTGCAACTATATCACGGATGTTACAGTTCTGAAAGCTGTGAAGTGTATTCCATTTTCTTTACAGTAATTTGGGCAATTGTGAGCCAATTAAAACTCTTCCTGATATATATAAAAAGAAAACAAAGAAACATCTACAGGTGTATTTTTCAGGATGACAGATGAGTTTTTTCAACCTCCTCTGCAATCCTTGGCACACAGTGCCACAATCCCCAGATCTTGCCTAGGTTAGGAAGTGGTAGCATAGGTTAGTAAAGTGTTAAAGTATTGTATGTACCTTACACATCTAATAATTACAACCTGTAGCAGAAATCAGTCAGAGCTTGAACCAGTGGTTGAGCACCTGGTGGGAAGGCAGGGCCAACCCAGGGGAGCTGAGGTGCAATCAATACACCTGAGTGACTGGAAGAGGTGAAGCCAGGATCCACCCCTTCCCCGACCTCATTTGAAGGGTTGGCAGTGGAGGTGAGGATGTCTTACTAGAGGTCCCTGCCTTCCTAGGGCCTTCCAAGAGTAAGCAGGCTTTCTTCTGTTGTTTTTGTCCACAGCTGCTCTGTGTGGCCTTGTCCTCATTTACTGCAGCCTAGGATTGTGCCACCCCACTGTTATTGCTGTGTTGCTCATCACGTAGCATCACAGCATTACACAACCTTATGGAACATTGGCATTTTCAACCATATGTTTAGAAAGTTGAAAAATGATCAAATTACAATATTTCTGATTATGCTGCCCCAAATGAAGTGTTCTCAACTTCAGCAGTCTCTAAAAATTGGACAGCAGTGCTGACCAGAAGAAATCTGGTTGAAACATTTTAATAAGGTGAGTTACTCAGCCTTACATTAGGGAAAATCATTATCATAAAAAATTGAATAGGTTTTTGCTGTGAGTTAGGTTTTAGATGAAGAGAGCATTGGGTTTGGTGTTTCTCTTTGCTCTGGGGGCGCTTCTCCAAAATTGTAGGCTAAACCTCATCTACGTGATGTATTTTGATAGACTTCTTTATCTACTGGTTGAGTTCATATGTAATGAACGTTGACAGTCAAAATCATGTAGTGAGTCAAACAGATGCACGAAAAAGTTATCAAGTGGTTCTTTCTTTACCAGTAGTTCAGTGGGCCACTTTGCATTTCCAGAACAGCTACAGGGTTTGTTCTATCAAAGGAATTTCACCTCTCTTTCCATTCTTGAATTATGGCATATGGATATCTCATTTCACTTCCTCATTTGTTGCTGGGTAGCAGTGTGGGGAAAATAAGATTCAAAGGGGTTTAATGAGTGTGCTAATTCATTTACGAAATGCTAACAGTAGCTTCTGTATGGCAAAATATTCTTTCTTTGGCTGTTTCAGCCTGATGGTCAGCTTTTCTTGCTATCTTCCTGCCATTTGTTGGACTGCTAGTACTCTACGTACAATCAGACAAGGCTGTGGGGGAGCCTTGCAAAGGGAATTGTCTCATCATTCTATGATTGTTAGGATTTCTAACACTGTCCAAGAGGTTTTTTTTTTTTTCATTTGTTTTCCTTAGAAGTTTTCTCATTAGTCTCCTTTTAATCAGTTCTTCTAGAAATTGTTTCCTCTACCAAGTGATCGTATTTGTGCACTAGGAGACTTGCCTGGTGCTGTTACAGTGATGTGAACACGGCCTTCTTGTCTAACCTAACAGGTCTCTGACGAGGGGCAGGATATGCAAAAAAATATCTGTTCTGCTTAATTTTGTGGCAGGAAAGCTCACTTGAAAAATAACTGAACAAAAATCTCATTAAGTTAACCAAAATGCCCTTGGAAAAACACCATTGAGCAGTTTTCAGTTAGGTAGAAGCTCTTGCTCCAAGTCTAGATCAGACTTGCCAAGCAATTTGGGCAATTGTGAGCCAATTAAAACTCTTCTTGATATAGATATATATCTTATACCTTATCTTATATCTTATATCTTACATATATATATATATGTATATATAAGATATCCAACAGGCTATCTTAACGGGTGGCTTATGAGGACTTCTAGCCTGTCTCCAGAGCGAAGTCTTGAAGGTATTCATCTTTTGTACTTTTTATCCGTGTTTTACTAGTGAGACAAGCTGAGAAATTTCCATAAATAACTACACTAAAGTCATGGTTTGACATTCATTTTTGTTTTGATGAACAGAACGTGGAAGAGAGCAACACTGTATTGGAAGGGAGTCCACTTGTATTTCCTGTGTTGTTGAGTGTATTTTTCTCCATATTGTGAAAGTCTGACTTGAGCATTTTGGCTGATAAAAGGCATTCTTCTGAAGATATGTTACTTATAGAAAGTTAATTACTTATTTGTTTCCCAGTTAAGAAAAATGCACTGCTGTATGAATGCTGTATTTCTGAAGCTCAGAGCTTGCTATGTGTTATAATTATTCAGGCAGAAAGGATGGTTACCTGCAGAAAGAGCAAAGCAAGTTGAAGAATTCTGGCAACGAAAGAGGGAAGCCATGCAAAACAAAGCTCGTGCTGAGGGACACATGGTATGGAAAATGCTGTCTTTGTGTGTTACTGTTTCACAATGCTTTACAGATGTTTAAATTAGTACTGTAGCCATGAAATACTGACTAAATATTTTTCTACATATTAAAAAAAAAACACGAGGGGGGGTACATCTTAATAAACCAACCAAAGCACTGGAATTGTGCAGACATGTCTCATTTGTGTAAATTCATGATCAAAGGGGAAAAAATACCTCTTCTGTGCATGTCTTACTTGATATTGTAAGCTTCAGAACAGTGTTGAGCATTTACTGCTGGTCATAGATGTGAAATTTTGGTGGAAATTGTGCTTGCATATAAACTGAACTCAACTATAGCAGTGTTTTCCTGAAGACATGCTTTTTATTAAGATACTTTAGCTTTGTTGCAAAAGTATCATTAGGTTAGTACATTAGTTCTGAAGCATGGGGCTTCTGTTTTAAAAGTGTCGTTCTGTTTTGAAGCCTCTGAGACCAGTAAACCTTTTTGATAGAAATAATACTAGTTCATTCTGCCTCACTGTAGATGAGTCAGTCATAGTACCTGCTTCTAATTTGTTTTAAACTTTGGCATTAATGTAGTTTTATATGATCTCACTGATGCGAGTTACCCAGGTATGCACTGTGTATTGCTGTTTCTCTACTGTATTCAGCTGAGCCCAAATGCTTTACACTTAACGGGCAGCTGTGATAAAATGGGGAGGCTCTGACTCTAAGCCAGGGCTCCATATTAATGTATCAGTTACCACTGATGGCAGAAGCTCTCAGCAGTTTTCTCCTGTTTGTACTGGGGGGGAGGAAGGAGGGGTGACACCTTGTATGGCTTGCAGTAATTTCCATGTAAAGAGTTGCTCAGTCTAGAGAAGAAAAAGCTCCAGGAGGACCTCATAGTGGCTTTTGAGTACCTGAAGGGGAGACTGCACGGAAGATGGTGAGGGGCTTTTCAAAAGGTTTTGTATTAAGACAACAGGTAGGCTTGAAATTAGATGAGTGTGAATTCAGATTAGACATCAGGAAGAACTGTTTTACCTGGGGTACCGCAGCACTGGGCCTGGTTGCCCAGAGAAGTTGTGGAACTCCCTGGAGGAGTTCAGGACCAAATTGGATGGAGCTTCAGGCAACCTGGTCTAGTTCAAGGTGCCCCTGCCCGCAGCAAGGGGTTGGAACAGGATGGTCTTGAAGGCTCCTTCCAGTCTGAGCCGTTCTATGATTCTGTTATGTAGGGATGGTGCTGTCTTCTAGACCAGAATAATTTAAGAGGAAAAATGGATAGGAATCAGATAAGATGGAGCTTTTTGTGTGAATGCTAAGTGGTTGTGTTAATTTATCCAACCTTAGTTCAGTATGTGGTTACATGTGGTTTCTCTGTTTGTTTTAAGTGACCCTACAGTTCAACTTGGAGGTTGAGTGGTATTTTCAATGTTACAGTCTTTAAGACAACTGCTGACTCATCCTGGTGCTTCTTTGTAGCTGTGGGGCATTAAAAGATACTGAGTCCTGGTCTTTGAAAATTTTAGTATGTTCACTTAAGTAGATGAGTGTAAATGATTAATGCTAATTGTCTGTATTAATAAGACCAGTTATCAAAAGCTTGCTTCCAATTCTTGTTGTTTAAGGTCGTCATTAGTTTGAGAAAACTGAAAGCTCATGCGAATGCCACAGTGAGGACCAGCAAGATTACTTGTAAAGTGCCAGTTAGCTTTTTCAAAAGCTCAGGAACATGCCTAAAATATAACTTATTTTTCAGAAAACAGATAGTTTTCAAAATTAAAATAGGGAAAATAACGCTTCAATTTTTGATTGTTACTTAACACTCCAGCTGAAACTAAAAATCATAGAATTCTCATGGTTGTGTGCTATTTCTTACCTATGAGAATAAATCTTGTAATTTATCCCTAGAGACTAAGCCAGAGGAGTTTAGAACAAATCTTTTTTCTTAAATTACTGATTTTTAGCTGAATCTGAAAGATTATGTAGCCAGAATATTTGGATTTGGTCCATCTGCTCATAAAACTTAACTGCAGTGTTGAGGTACAGGCATTTCTTTACTCTCAAGCCTGGATAAACAAAATACCAAGTGTTTTAAAAGGCAGAAGGTCTATACAACAATCTTACATGCATTTACTGTCATTATGTGTTGAAGATACTTTTTTGTGAGTTCAGCAGGGTCAGAATATTATGATTAGCAGAAGCATTTAATTTTAAACCAAGCAGGGAACTTTGGGTTAAATGATTCTTGCACTGTCTGGAGTTGGGCTTCTGTTAGTGTTCCCATAAAAGTTGAACCCTTTTGGTTACATTTGGGATTCTGAATACATCCCACTACCCGACATTATACACTTAAGATGCACATGCAAATTCTTGAATTTGCTACTTCTAGTGTGTTAAAGATACATATTATGATGAGAAAATGGTTAATGTACATATGAAGATTCCACTTGCATTTTAGGCTTTGCTCAGTGGTGGCAGAAATACCAACTGTGTGGTGCTGTTTGTGTATATTATAGATGTACCAAAACTGCTGCTCAAGAGCATTTTCTAACACAGCAGGGGAAGACAAGCTGCAGGGAAAAGACCTGTACCATGTTTAAAACTAGCTTGTTTGTGGCTGCTCAGGGTTGTCAGCTCTTACTGTTAGATATTACTTGTAAATGAAATGAGGTTATCGTTGAACTTAAGAGCAGCTTCAGATCATTGATGGATTTGGTTTCTTCTAAGTGGACAGTTACTGGATAAGTCAGATAATTTGACTGCCCAAGCCATTTTAAATTTGATACCATTAAATGGCAAACAGGGTACACTGCAAAACGTGGCAGATATCTATGGAGGCAGGCCCATGTCTGCAAGAGGAAGGAAATCCAGAAACAAGGAAGAAGAGGTATGCTTGCCGCATGTTTGCCACTTCCATCGCAGAAATAGCTCTGTTTTGAACTTGATTGTGCCTTTTTTCCCTGCATGGTTCATCATTGTAATGCAATGAAAGGACTTCATAAATTCCTAGGAAATAATTTATTCCTGGAATGTGGGTGTGTAATTTTTTTTATTAATATTATTTTGAATATTCATAAAACTGTTGTCTACAACAGTTATGAGAAAATGTCTGCCTGGAAAAGTTTCTTGAACTTGCATACATATCTGTATGATGTAACTGTGTTGTAACGTGTGTAACCATTCCTGGTCCCTGGTTATGTCAAGTACAATAGTAGCTTACTACTGAGGAATGTAACTTTCAGTTTTGTTTTCGTTGGTTGAATGTTCTTCTGGGAATTATTATATGTTACTATAGCAATAGTAATTACGTTGTTTTTCCCCTCATTTCATTTCACTTTTTGTGGAATCTTAACTGGTTTTGTAAGCTAACCGTGCTACAAATGGTTTCAGTGCAATTGAAAATTGCTTCCTTTCTTTGCCTTAGGAGTATTTGGCAAGGTTAAGACAGATACGACTGCAGAACTTCAATGAACGTCAACAGATTAAAGCGAAACTTCGTGGAGAGAAGGTCAGTTTGAAACATAAACAACTTCAGAAGTTGGCTGGGGGATATAATCTTCTATCCCTGCAGAAACATTTCTCTCAGAAGCAATTTTATATGTATTTCTACCATTTAATTCTGTTCCACAGTTAGTGTACTTCAGTCTCTTCTTCTGGAACTAACAAAATTTGTTGGAATCCAATGGTTGAGCTTCAGTACATGTAGCCCAACCATCTTTTAAAGATAGGGCAACGTAAAGTTACATCAGAATTTGACACACAAACCTCCCACTGGAAAAAAGCTACCTAAGATTTTTTGCTTGGGCTTTGTGAAATCATTTCTACTAGGACTCCTCCTTATACTGCATGAAGCCTACTTAAATAGGCTTCTAAATAGTTTGTATTAAATCAGAGGTCTGTGCAAGTTGAGCTTTAACAGTTCAAGCCTACTGTGAGACTTGATTTTTTTTTTTTTTTACTCAACTCTGCCAGTCTGTTCTGTAAATTGCACTATGCAGAAGTTATGGAATGGGAGTTATTTAAAAACAGAGATTTCTGAAATACACCTTACATGTTCTTGTGTCCATTCTCCATCAACAGCCATCCACCCATTCGGTCTTCCCAGCGTTGTTGGGTCAACTTTCACTGCCTGTGCAACTTTAGGTCCATTAATTTCTTGCTTTCTTGTTTGTAGAAACTTGATATCATTATCAGTAATTTCAAAAAGCAAGTTTAGGCCAGTAGGGTATTTTATTTAAGTGAGAATTTACCATGTAGAATTCTGACTTGTGTTAGTCAAGTGATCAGTCTGAATAATCCCATTGGTCACTTCTATCTCTCAGCTGTTAAAAACAGGTGCTAATGATAATTAATTGAGGACTCATGCTTTGCAGAACGAAGCTCCCAGTTCTGATGGACAAGAGTCAAGTGAGGAAGCAGAAATGAAACGCAAAAAGATAGAAGCACAGAAGGTAATTGTGGGGAGGGAGTAAGTGGAACTCATTGGTTTTAAAATTGCCTTCTTAAAGTTTCTTGCTATCAATATCTGTTTACACATTCAATAATGGAGGTTTTCGTCTCTCGTAAGTCATAAATACTGTACTGAGGTAACAACTGCATTCAACTGATTCATCTTTGTTTTAAAGTACGTTGTGATGTGGCATAGTATAGGAAGATTTTGGTCCCATCCTTTCCATAGAGGGCTAGAGATTAGCCCTCTATACTAGCTGTAGTGCTAAAGGCACTTTGGTATAATAACTAGGATAGCCTTTTGATGGTGAAAGGGAAAGGAAAACGTAGCTTAAATAACATCTTCTAGTTTAAAGAATAAATGACTCTGCTCTTGTGCAGACAGGGCCACAGGTAGATCGTAGGATGGGCTCTTGCAGACTACTTGGAATCTTGTTTTGTTTGGTAGTTGAAAGCAAGTATAAGTCACAGGAATCGAGTTTTTACTTTGAGCTTTTTTCTCCTTGTTCTTTCTATATTAATAACCACCTCTACCATGCTATGTAGCAAGTATTACTCTACTTATTCACTTTGTCCCCTCGTCTTCAAGGAGCAATGTACAAACAAGCTGACCTTATGCCTAACCTTGAAACTAGAGGTGAAGCAGCAGCTGAAGCTTTTCTCATCTGTTGAATAAATATTGACAGTTTAAGCTGTATGTTTAATTGTTCGTGGTTGATGTTCTGGATGATGAAAAGCTGGACATGAGCCAGCATTGTGCACTTGGTGGTGGCCTGACTGACCGACTGCATCCTGGGCTGCATCAAAAGAGGCACCAGAGGGGATTGTTTCCTGTACTTTGCCCCTGTGAAGGCTCCATGTGCATTACTGTGTCCAGGCCTGGGGCCTGCAGCTGGGGAAAGATGCAGAGCTGTTGGAGTGGGTCCAGAGAAGGCCACAAAGATGATCAGAGAGCTGGAGCGCCTCTCCTGTGAACAAAGGTTGAAGCAGCTGGGCTTGGTTAGTGTGGGGAAGAGAAGATTTCTTCAGGAAAACCTCACTGAGACCTTCCAGTACTTGAAGGGAATTTACAAACAGGAGGGAGACTAACTTTTTTTAGATGGTCTGGTAATGACAGGTTTGGGGTGGGGGGGGGGGGGAAACAGTTTTAACCTAAGAGGGGAAATTTAGGTGGAAATTCTTTTCTCGGAGGTGAGGTTTGGGAACAGTCGAGTCTGTGCAGTCTGTAAAGAATTAAGTTACAGAAAACAAGATGAAGTGATCCAAGAATGTTTCTTTGTAAAATGTTCAGCAGAACTGTGTACTACTTTTTGTGTTTGTAGTTGATCCTTTTTTTCCTTGCTTGCTTATTACAGGCCCAAGCAAATGCTCGAGCTGCAGTTCTGAAAGAACAGTTAGAGCGAAAGAGGAAGGAAGCATACGAAAGAGAGAAGAGAGCTTGGGAAGAACATGTAAGCAAATGTACACTAAGTATGTAGTGCTCTGTCTTTGTATGAATGAAGTCTTTCATGGTGAATTTCTACCTTAGACAAGTTTGCCTTCTGAAATAGAGGAGAGCAGGAGCCAGTCACCAGGATTATGTTTAGCATTTTATTGATTATCTGCTGCTTACCAAAACGTATATAATCTTCATTGGATTGTGTGTTGCGAAGTCCAACTAGTGATAACTACAAAAAATGCAGAATGCTGTGGAGCTGATAAATTGGCAGTAATTAACATGTGTCATTAACAGTTGCATTTAGTACAAAAATGTGCGACGTTGCTCTTCCTGAAGGTTTACAGGAGTGTATCTGAGCATACTGTGGTGAATGTGCGGTCTTTGATTTTTCTTTTTCTTTGATGTACCTTTACAGCTGATAGCTAAAGGAGTAAAGAATCCTAACGTGCCTTGTCATGTGGGAGCAGCAGGACACAGTCCTGTGCACGGAATACAAGAGCCTGGAGTATCTCTTCCTAAGCAACAGCTTCCAGTTAAGCCCATCTCCATGACTTCTGCTTTGAAAGAAGTGGGAGTGGTAGGTAGTCTTGTGAAAAAATGAAAGTAATGAAAAAAACAGACAAGCAGACTGGGTTGAAAAAGAATTTTTAAGAGAATGTGTGTATTAGGTAGAAGAAATAGTGATTGCTTCAAAGAAAAAAAGACTAAATACCAATTTATAAGCTGCTGAAATACATGTGTCTTCTGAAATGCAAATCTGGTCAATTTTCAACAAAATAGCAACTTCTTTTTTGATGAATGAAGTCGTGGTTAGAGGAAGAAGTGGTTCACTAGACATGAAGCCTCTTGAAATCAGGTGTTAATGAGTTTGTAATCTGTGCCCAAGTAGAGTGGAACTGATAAATGTTAAGTCAGTCCATTTTATATCCTTGATTCTTTTCACTGACTTTGAAAGTCTATACTGATTATAACAAGTCTGACACTCAAGTGTGACAGCATGGTCTGGTTTTGTTGTTTTAAGACAGTATTCCAATTTTATATTTTCTGTGGCCTTTGGTCCCAGTAGTGTCAATGTTTACGTGTTTGTTTACTGTCATCTGATTTAAGCAATACCATAAAAACTCAACATGTGACTGCACAACTTGTGTTTTAAATGCAATCTGTTAATTTGAATGCTGACCTTTGTATTATTACCTAGGTTATAGATTTAATTATAGTACAGGGTTATAGAGCGTGTATGAACTTGGATATGATGATAGGAATACAATTAAAATTTAGCACAAAGTGATTTATGTAACTGAAAGGTGTCAGTTGATAGCTGGGAAGGTAAATTGTGTTGTGATGCAAATATCTAAATCATGGAGCACTTTTTTCATGTGGATCATCCGTCTTACAGCAAAGTAAGAGAATAACTCACTGAAAATCAGAGTGCTTAGTTGATCAGAAGGACAAGCCTTGTGCACAATGATTATAATTTTTGCATTCCTGCCTTCAATTATGTTGAATTATTATGCATATTTAATCTACAGTTTAAAACCAAGTATGCTTTCTGAAGGCAGCTCATTGTGAATGTTTTGACGAGTCTGAAGGGTCTCACCAGTAGTTCAAACTGTACTGCTCTTGTAATTAAAGCAGATCAAGAAGAATGTGAAGTGTTTCTCTGAAAAATGCTCTGCATAATGCAATATTTGCCTTTTCTTACTGTAATTGTTGCCAGTCAACTTTGTCCAAGCAGGTTTTCTGTGTGTTCTTGAATACTAAGGGAGTACTATTCTTATTCTTACTGACTTGGTAATACATGTGCTGTCATTACGAAAACTGTCTTTTGTGCCTTATTCTTTTCTTGACAAATGCTCCTAGATTCTGTCCTCTCAACTTTTTTGTTCTCACACGATTGCTCTTTTCTAGCATTGGATCTGAGTGTCATTTTGCTGTGTGACATATCTAGCTTTATCTCTGCCTTGATTATGCTGTGAGTTTTTACTTAACAGATTAATTTGCTCACTGCTTAAGGCAGCAAACAAGTCAGACTTCTGTCCTTTAAAGTGCTTGTGAAGCACCACAAAACCAGAAGTGTTGTGCAGTCTGTCAAAATCTACCTATGCTTCTCACTGAAAAGTCACCTCTAAGAGCCTTTCACTACGTAGATAAAGATTATTTTTTCTGCTGTACCTTCTACCTGATTTTTCCTGCTTCTTGGTTTTAAAGGATGGAGATGTAACCGCTGCCCAGGAGGTTAAAGAGGAAGTCAAGAAGCCAGATCTTGCAGTGCAGGTATGTCAGGCTGCATTCTGTTTAATTTTCTTTTCCTTTTCAAGAAAGATGCTGTTTTAGGTAATTATCTGTTGATCCTTATTTCAGAACAAGCGGCAAATACTGAAAAGGTTAAATCAAAATCTTAAAGCTCAGGAAGATGAGAAAGGAAGAAAGGATGATAAAAACATCTCTGAGTCGGATGGGTCTGAAGATGGTAAAGAAGAGCAGGAAGATAACTACCCACTTGTAGGAGATCGTAAAAGATGGGCGTCAAGAGCATCAGATTTGGTAGTTCCTTTAGCTCAGTTAACAATGGAAGAGTCTCTCTCTGGGACGGACCGTAAGCACTCTTGTCATGATATCACTAAATCAGTTTGCACTGTGTAATGCCTGCTTTTTATCAATCTTCATTTATTATTGCCCTTTTGTTATCATTTGTGTCTCATTTGCTTCTAAAGAAGGTGGCTATGTATTCGTTTGGATAAGGAGTAAATCATGTGTTTAGTAGTTAAATAACCTGCAGGCAATGTAAAAAAGAAACTCAACAAATAGTTGCCTAATTAAATACGTGGTTTATTTCTTCAAGCTGCCTTTTTAAGGGTCTTTTAAATAGGCACTAATCTAACAGAAAGAACAGATGCAGTTAAAATAAATGAACTTTATTTTGCTCTACATTTCTTTGTTGCCACTTGCAATGATTGGATGGATCAAAGTGGGAGAAGGTGTTGCACTACAGGTGTGGTGTCCAAGGATTGGCACAATAAAGGAAGGGCAAAAGATTGCTCACCCATACAGGAAGATTCTAGGTTCTTCACAGAGGAAAGCTGCACAAAGGAGGGATGTCCAGAAAGAGACCCTTCCCCAGTGGCAGTCAGCCCTTAAATGGGGGCTGCAGCCTTCCCCTGTGCTCCCAGGGCTGAGTCAGTCCTTGCCTCAGGTGATCAGTCAGTGGTTCAGGCTGTGACTCAGCAGTTCCCATACACCACTTTTTATGCTTTGTTTTCCTCAGAGGGAGAAATAATAAGAAAAAAATGTCCTGATATCTTATGACAAGGGATTTTCTATTTTTCTTCTTCCATATGAGCAAGCTGGTAGAAGTAGAGGTGAAATTTTTAATTAAGTGGTATTAATACAGACTTTGACAACTATGAACATCTCTCAAACTTTTTCTTCTGGAGTACCTGGGTTGCTGAAAATAATCCTTGCTTTTACTGTGAAGTAGATGATGTTAATTGTCGTTTGTAAATTTGGTAACTTACCATTAAAAGGAGTTGGCAGCAGAGGAACTCTAGACTTCTCACCATAGTCTTTAAGCTCTCTGGCTTGAGGTGAGGAGCATGATACTGAAATTGTAGTTTTTAGTTTTGTGGAGGTTTTTTGTTTACTATATATAAAGTGAACGGCAGTTAAACATGTTTTTGTGTCTTGACAGGGCAAACTATGGGGGAAGTAATTAGGCTGGATATCGGTGAACCTCGCAGGAAAGTCTGGGGCAAAAGCCCTACTGATTCGGTCCTGAAGATTCTAGGAGAAGCAGAGCTGCAGCTACCAACTGAAGTACTGGAAGAAATAGATGTAATAAATGGTAAGCACTGCTGGTGACCATTTATGCTGCAGGTGTAGGAAGTGCTAGCTTCACAGTTAGTCTATTGAGAACGATTTGGAAGTGATAGGAACATATTCTGTCCTTATTCTTGTTGCTTCCGTGTGTTGCCTCAGTTTGAAATGTTCCTAAACATTCAGAAGGGCAGCATAAGCTGATAGCAGAAGACACTGAAATATTTCACACATTCAAGTAGTTAGAAATTAGGATGGGTGTGCAGCAAGGCAAGGATCTTCCTTTTGTCAAAAAGCCATGGAAAATTGACTTGGTAATAAAAACGAGTCTGTTTATTTCTAAATAATGCCATCAACCAAATACTGTATTGCACAGTTCCTACTGCTTGCTGTTGGGGTGGGACTTAGCATACTAGTAGAATTTCGTTCTGGATGAGTTTGTCCTGCATACAAACTCTGTTGCTTCCTGTCTTTGCTAACTTTCTTACCTGTTCTTTTGTTATTGCCATTTCTGTGTTCTCTTTCCTATTTTCTTGTGCTTTACAAATGGTAGACACAGGAAGCTTTTAGAGCTTTAGTGTATTTTGGTCCTTGTCAAGTAGTTGATTTTAATAGAACTGAGGATGGTGGTATTTTGCTTCAAAAAAATAAATGTAAGGCTTAGTTACATTTGTTATACATATACTGAGAACGTTGGCTGTTAGCCAACACAACAGTCTGTCTCAGGTACCTTTTCATCTTAAAATTTATAGCAGCAAAACATGATTATCTTGCCAACTTTGGCTAAAATTTAAATTAAAAATATTACATAACAGTACAAGTTCATTCCAAATGTGTAGGTTGCTCTGAAAGTAATGCTTCCCATTTATTTATATGGAGATGACAACAGATGCAAAGAGCACAGTAATACTATTAGAGTAGACTCCCGGCTATTAAACACTAACAACTTCTGGTTTGGCATTCATTTCTCACAAGGTATGACTTAATTAATTTTAGAGCCTGATGATTTGGAAGCAGAGGTGTTGAAAGAAACTGAAGAAAATAAAAAGGACCAGAGCAAGGAATTTCCCATCGCTGTTAATGAAGTGTGGGTGAAAGAAAAAGAAGATAAGTGAGTTATTCCTTTATTGATCTCTCCCTTTCTCTCTCTAGTTCAGATAACTAGATACGTTAGTTAAAACATTTAAGTTTACCTAAAGCTTTGTTGCTTGTCTGTACTTCCTGGTTGAGGATCTTTTCAATGGACTCATGACTGTTATAAATTTTGTTTTCTAACAGTGCACAACATGACAGAAGAGATGAAGCAGCTTTGGAGAAAGCAGTGCTTGATGAAGTGCAATCACAAAATGAAGCTCCAGGAGGTCAGTGAGTGTATTTTGTGTTGTGACTGATGGGACAGAATGCTGGAGCTATCCCTCTTCTCACTCCTTCACTAACCTAACAGAGCAGATTTTCTGTTTTCATTCTATTTTTTAGTTCAGGACAAGTTTGTTGTGAGTTAGGGAGATGACTTGAGGGTATTATTTTTGCCACTTCAGAAGAAAAGATGTAGCATCAAAGCTATGTTACGTATACACAGGGAGAATAGCCCATTCTTTGTTACTTACAAGTAAATATCAAGCACAATAACAAGTGAATATCATTCACAAGAATGTTTTGATCTTGTATAATGACTGTTCTAAGTGTAAAGAAGACTGGTGGTTTTACTTGGTAAAAGTGTTTTTTGTTTGCTGACATGGCTAATATTAACGTTAAAATGCGGTGTGGGTAAAAAGATGCATTTTAAACAACTGTTAATGATAATCTGTTGTCTTTATTGCCTGGAGGAGTTGCCTTCTTTTTGAGGTTTCTAAGCTAATTCCGGAAGATGTAAGTATTTTATACCAGAAGGGAAAATACATCTACAGTAGTGTTGGTGATACTGAGACATTGATTAATTTCTCCATGAAGCAGTCTGTACATTTTTTTTCCTGTGTTGAAACACGTGTTGGGATAAGATTGAAGAAATCTAGTATATGGCAAGGAAAAAAGTGAGAATGGATGATTCCATCATTGCAGATACAGATTGGACCATGGTAAACAAGAGGGCATAAGAATGGAATAGACTGTAGCTAGGAGTTATGGATTCTTAAAAAATACCTGGGAGAATTTCACATTATAATGCTTTTACCTAAGTAATCCCAACAGACTTTAATACTCTTATGGTGTGATCTATTTTCCTTCTAATTGTACAACAGAATTTGGTTAGGCTCTGCTCATTTTAGTTTCCTTTTGCGTGGGAGCTTGGAGGTGTAAATCATTTAGATTTGTAATGAACTTTTTTATACCACCTCAGAAACTTGTTCCAGTGACTCTGTGCAACCTGAACCGTTATTCCAGAGGGTGATGCAGCCCCCAGCTGTACCTGCAGCCTCACCAGTTCTCTCATCTCAGTCTTCCCAGGAAGAGCCTTTTGTACCTCGTTCTCGTTCCAGATCGCCAGCAAAAAATAAAGGGAAAAGTTCCTTGTTTTTTGGACTTTCTACAGGGTTGTTTGATGCAAACAACCCAAAGGTAACAAATGTTTATTTCTTCAGTAATGTTTTGCATCTTCCTGAGTCTCCGTGAGGCCAAAACAGGCGGCGTAATGGTTTGTATTGATCTAATTGTGTCTGCCATGCAGTATGGTTGCACTGTGTTCGTAGTGCGAGTAGGGCTCACATGGTGTTTTGAGTCTCTGGTTTCATGTTCTGCATTCTGCCATGTATAATCAATGAATACACAGGTGTTATAATTAAAAAACATACAGGAAAGTTAGGCTAAACAGGTTTTCACACTAAAGAAGATAGGATGGAAAGCTTGTCCTGGGCTCACTCAGAAGACTCCAAGAGGAACAATCTCCAAAAGAGATCCTTCCTCACTGGTAGTCAGCTCTTACATGGGGTGCAGGAGTGGTGCAGCCGGGCTCCATGCCTTCAAGTAACACGGGAGAGTTGTCTTCACCTGTGCTCGCAGGGCTGACTCAGTGCTCGCCTCAGGTCAGAGGTTCAGGTCAGGATTCAGCTGTTCCCATACATGCCTCCAAATGTTTATGGAGGAATTGACATCACTTGAGGAATGATGTTACTTAGATTCGACTGAGGAGATTCTTACTCTCTACCTTTCCCCCTTTTTACAGTTCTACAAACGTTGCACTATTTTGCCATCATAAAAACTGAAAAGAGCAATGAAGGCATTTCATAATTTCTGTTAATGAGGTGGCTGGTTTAACATTCAGAGAAAGGGGATAGTGCAGTGTGAAATCACATGGAATTAAAAATAATTTAACAATAGGTATGGAACCAGTAGATTAAATGGGCCTAAGACTGTGCAGTTCTTGGATAGATTCTAAAATGCAAAGTGCGTAGAAGAAAAGCTACTTTGTGAGGAAACATGGGTGGCTGGCAAGTTGCACATCTGCAAATTTGATCAATATTTGGTGTGAAGACTTCCTAGCTGATGAAATGCTAGACCAAGAAGAATGTTCCTTGTGATTCTGCTATTGTTGTGAATGCATGAATGGAAATTGCACTCCTTGATTAATAGTATACTGGAAGATACCTGTTGGTTGATGAGGAAGTTTATTACTGCAGATGGTGCTGTTGGCGTGTTCAGAAGAATAAATGCTGCTTGATGAGCTGCAGAGAGACTATTTTCACAGACTAAGGGATTTACAGTGAAGTTGTCACTAAGCACAGAATGAACTTTGTACCCTGAACATTTAAAGCAGTGGACAAGCTTTGTAATGAAGCTCGTCAGTGTATGACTATGAATCATCTCAGCATGTCATGTTCCTGTTGATTTGACACATTCTTTGGCCATAAGTGTGTGTCCTAATGGTTAATGCAGTGCCAGATGAGCTGTACATAGTAGCAGAGAACTTAGAGAAAAGCAGCAGATGTTCTGTTGTTGTCACAACAGAGGGACCAAAGAGAGCAATCAATTCCCCTTTCCTGCTTGATTGCAGCCAGAGGAAGTTCAGAACTTGAGTGATAATTAGTTTCTGCTGCTTTTTTTTATTGGGGTGAATGTTTAGTGGTTTTTTTTTGGGGGGGGGGGGGGGGGGGTTTCTTAAATTTGCTGAGATCTCAGTGGATTACTGAGGCAAACTGTTTTGCTGTTGCTTTATTTCCGCTGCGAACAGCGTAGTATTTTAAACTTCTAGTACTGGGGAACTGCTTTGAGATTATTGTTTTCAGTATCCAACTTTGAGAAATAAAAGCTGACGTTTAAAAACAGATGGAAGCAACTTGTAATCACAGACTTGGGTTGTTTCCAAACACGAGGCTTTGTTACCTTTGCAGATGCTGAGGACGTGTTCGCTCCCGGATCTTTACAAACTGTACAGAACCTTAGTTGATGTTCCCAGCATAGCAGATGTGCAGCATCAACACAGTCTTGAAATAGATGATACAGAAGATGAGCAGGCCAAAGAAGGACCCTCTGATTCGGAGGATATGTGAGTGCAGTAGCATTATGGGGTTTTTAAAAAGGCGTCTTACATCAAGAATATTTTTGGTTATACATTATGATATACTGTATACCATTGTAGACCAGAATGGATTTGTTTAGCTAGCCAGACTTGAAAAGACACTGTATTTCATATCTGTTTGGTTTGAATCAGCGTTCAGTCTGAGTCTTGTTCAGAAAATGGCACAGTTGATGGGATGTCCTATTTGCAATGTCTGTCTGAACTGTTCCCAAATTCCGTCTGTCTTGCTTTGATTCTCGGAGCGAGAGAGGAGATCCTCTGATATTCTCTGAGTAAGAATGAGATGCAAGCGTGGTCAGATGTTGTCTGAGCAGTTTATTATCTAATTGAAGTGACGGGGAAGGGACAGGCTGGTGATTATTACTAATTAGGGCGACGGGGAAGGGAAGGTGGGCCATAGGAAAGATGGGAAGAGACCAAGAATTCAGTAAAGCAGGGACAGTCACCAGCAAGGATGAAGCAGTGTCCCTTTGTGTGCCATTCCAACAGTCCAAAGCTGATGCAGAATTTAGGGTGCAGAGGGAGGCTGACTGGCTGACCTTAGACAGCAAGCAAGCAGATAGTTCAACCGACAGCGGATGTAGGAGGCAGGCAGGTCTCAGGTAGCAGGCCCAGGAGAATCAGGCAGCGGGCAACTTTCATGCCACAGGGTGTCTGATACCGAGCACAGTGCTCCTGGTTTGTAGGATTCTTCTGCCCAGCATTCCTGGGCACTTAGGTTAGAATCATGTGCAGCACCTGTGGGCAGGCATGTCCTGTTGCTTGAGATGTGCCCACAAAAGGCAGCTCATCAGCAGTGTAGCAGCTGCTTATCTCTCATTGCCTTTGGCCTGCAAATCTTCAGACAAAAGATTTCTTGGACTTGTCTGTCTGTTGAAGTTGTCCAACAGCAAGCTTTGAGGCAAAGGAGCAGAAATAGTCTCTTACACCATCCAAGATGCTTTTCTGTCTGTCTTTACTCCTTACATTCCCCTGAAACAGATCAAAGTTCAGATCAAAGGCTACCATTCTTCTAAAAATGAAGAATTGTTTAATATATTGTTTAATATATCCTTTCATGTTCAAGGGATCTCTGCTCTTCTGTCTTCCTTGCTGTGGTATAGGGATGTCTTTAAATTCCCCCAGATTCTTCCAGGGGCCTCAAGGTCTGACCTTGGGCTGACTGTTACACTCAGCTTGAATAGTCTGCAGGGGTGAAAACCATCCAGTCTGTCTGTTCTGATGAGACCTAGATCTGTTTTGCTCCAGATAATTCTATGTGGTTTCAGGTTTTCATTTCTTTCTAGGGTTTCCTTAAAATGCATTCATTTTGTTACTCATCCCTGGACTCCGTAACCTAGCTCTTAGTTGTCCTTTGTTTCTCTCATCCTAAATTTTCATTTGTTCAATGTGACTTATAAACAAGACAATCATCTTCCCTGTCGGTGTAAATTGAGCTTAGGTCTTTGTGTTGCTTTGTGGTTGTTCTTGGTGGTGGTTGAACTAACTTTATCAGTTTCCTGCTGTCTTAGGACATCCATGAAATTAGCATTTATCAAGGTTAGTGGATAAGGTATTTAACTCATATCTGTGCATTGAGAATGTTAGTACAAATATTATTTGTCTCTGCATTTGTATTCCTGTGCTATTTTTATTTCATTAACAAATGCAGAACACACGAGTTATTTTCAATACTTCATTGCTTATCCTCAGCCCATCTTCCTTCTGCTTCATTTTTAAGGTATTTCTACTTGTTGGCTCTTACTGCCAGTTCCTACTGTTCACATACTAAGATTAGCTGGCAGTCTTAGGAATGGAGGTTTTTGCAGCAGTTGTCCCACACGTATATAGAAAGTGCCCTGAAATCCTACATTTGGAAAGGAACAAAAGATGAAACATAGAGCAGAGGTACAAATTCTGCAGTTACATCTGGCGCTGAAGTGCTGCCCTGGCACACTTGCTGCTTTTGTCTCAGGTTTTCTGTTTTGTTTTGCTTAAGTGAGGGTTCTGATGTGGAATTAAATCGATCTTTCCTGTTCTCTTCTTGAAAAGTGATACCTGCTGTTTCTGGAGCATCAGTTGTGCTTAGCCAAGTCAGAGTAATCCAGCTCTACCTGATCTTTAGTTATCACATCTCCTCTTGAGCTTGTGTGGAAAGAGAACTCTGCCCAGTTTGACTCCCAGCTTACAGTCTCTTAGACACAGACTGAAGAAGAATCTTGGAGTTGGTTGTCTGAGTTGGATTAACTATTTTACCGTAATTAGTATTGTTGTGCTTGCAACACAGGGTTTTATAACAGAGCGTGAGTACAAAGATTGTTTGAACTGATCTTCCTAATAAAGTTTAACAGATCACCTATCTCATCATCCTTCTACAAGATGCTCTAGTGTCTGCTTAGGCAGATCTTTATTCCCTGTGCCTGGCACTGTGTAGTGGTATTAGGACTGTCGTGATGAGCTGTGGATGTAAATATCTTCAGAAAGTGCTAATTTTCTTGATTAACCTAGTAGTTATAGGAAAAGAATTAGTTTAATGTATACAAATGTTGCTCATTTTTCTTCTCGTAAAAGCTCCGCTGTCTTTGGTTTGTTGGCTTAACAAAAGATATGAACTCTTCCTAGAGTTTGTCTTGAAAAGCACAACTTGACGTAGTCTTTGCCACTTTCTCCTAGCATGTTTGGGGAGGCCGATACAGATTTGCAGGAACTCCGGGCCTCAATGGAACAATTGCTTAGGGAGCAGCCTGAGGAATTAAGTGAAGAAGAGGAATCTACTTTAAAGGCTAACGTCATCAAATGCATGACAAATGGTGCAGAGCTGGATGAAGCAGATGAAAATAACCCCAGCAGTGAAAGTGCTCTTAACGAAGAATGGCAGTCAGGTACCATTTGTTAAACCTGTTTCATGAGCTGTTCATTGATGTTAGCAATAATGACACGGAAGAGTTTTGTATTTTATAAGGGAATCAGGTTCTGAATAATAGTTTTTCTAGAGACTTAAAACAAATGTTCTGATGTTACTGGAAGTTTTCAGTGCGTGAAGGTCAGCATCGAAGTACTTGTTTATGTTGCAAATTATGTAGCAGCTGTTTGTTAGGCAGTGACCATAAGTCTTTTTTTTCTCCAGTTGCCTCAAATGTGCTTCCAGGGAAGATCAGGAGGATCCTTTTTAGAATAATTTAATAGCTTTCTGCTGTTGGTGGTTTTCTTTCACTGGTTCTTGTCTACTGTTGTTTTCTTTCTTCACAGATAACAGCGATGGAGATATTGCCAGTGAATGTGAAGAGTGTGATAGTGTCTTCAGCCATCTGGAAGAGCTGAGATACAACCTGGAGCAGGAAATAGGCTTTGAGAAATTAATTGAAGTTTATAATAAAATAAAGGTTTGTGGAATCATAGAATCACCAAGGTTGGAAAAGACCTAAAAGCTCACCCAGTCCAACCGTTCACCTATTCCCAATAGCTCCCACTAAACCATGTCCCTCAACACAACATCCAGCCTTTCCTTGAACACCCCCAGGCTCGGTGACTCCACCACCTCCCTGGGCATCCATTGCAGTGCCTGACCACCCTTTCTGAAAAGTAATACTTCCTCATGTCCAGCCTGAATCTCCCCTGCTGTAGCTTGAAGCCATTCCCCCTGGTCCTATCACTGATGACAAGAGAGAAGAGGCCGACCCCCAGCTCACTACAGCCTCCCTTCAGGAAGTTATAGAGAGCAGTGAGGTCTCCCCTGAGCCTCCTCTTCTCCAGGCTGAACATTCCCAGCTCCTTCAGCCTCTCCTCATCAGCCCTGTGTTCCAGACCCCTCACAGCTTTGTTGCCCTCCTTTGAACACGTTCCAGGGCCTCAATGTCTTTCTTGCAGTGAGGGGCCCAAAACTGGACACAGCACTTGAGGTGCGGCCTCACCAGAGCTGAATACAGGGTAATAAACTCAACTGGAAGCCATTTTAGGAAACCAGATGTGTATGTAGGGCTGCATACTGTGCCAGTAACAAATAGCATTGCGTGGCTAGAATTAATGCTTATTTCTTGAGTCTTTTGTTTTCTTTCAACACAACTAAAATATTAACACAGAAAATCCCAGTGAATTGAAGGAGGAAAGCTTTAGGGTTAACAACAGACTACATGGAGTAAACCTGAACTGTTTTAATCTAAACCCATTTCAGACCTCACCACGTGGATTGTTCTTTTTCCCAGGCTATACATGAAGATGAAGATGAAAATATTGATATTTGCTCAAGCATAGTTCAGACTATTCTGGGAAATGAACACAAACACTTGTATGCCAAAGTACTTCACCTAGTCATGGCAGATGGAGCCTACCAGGAAGGTAATAGCACTGGCAATGATGGTTTGTCCTAATGTTTGTTCTTGCTTACATAAAGAAGTTGTGAGAATACTTTTTAAAACAGATGCTTTGTTGTACAGCTGGTCAGCAATGTAGATTGATGGTTTTTTTTCCCCACAAACAGCTTTTTTATTGCTGCAACATGTGTCAAACTGCCAGTATGCTGACACTCCAATTTAACATTGCATGCATAGAATGAACTGTAATAACAGATGCCTTCTAAAATGTGCAGTATTAATAATGACTTCCTGTGAAACCATTCTGCAGGTTGGGAAGATGAAGTCTAGAATCAAGTTCTGAGAACAAAAAATGATTCTGTTGTAGGAATTCAATTGTGAAGTAATATTTCCCTTTCCAAAACTACTTTTAATGGGTTCTAGTGTTGAAAAGTAGTGATGCTGATTCAGAAAAGGAAACTTCATGTGGGTCTTTATTCTATAACTGCAGTTTCCTGGAAGACCTTGCTGTGGAGATAGAACTCATCTTAGTCTTGCACTAGCTCAGTAATACATGGAGAGCATTGAACTTGCTGGGAGCCCCCTGTGTGTTTGCACAATGTGCTGTGCAGGCAGACAGCTCCTGGGTACTCAGAGTCACTTGGTGCAATGCCACCCAGCCCCCTGTCTGTGAGAAAATGCTGTTGGCTTTTTCTCTCATGTCAAAAAACTAATTGCAGCTATGTAATGTTATCTGGTGCCAAAAGACTTAACTGGGGAAGAAAAGATAGGAATCTGAAAGGTCAGTTATTGTTACAGAAGTTAGAAGCATCACATAATAGTTCTAGGAATGTGTGCAATAATCACTATTTGCTGATTTTCAAATTCTGAGTATTTTAATGCATGTTAACCAGCGTTTGCTAACTGCACCTTTCAATTTCTTTCACAACTATGTTGCAATAGCAAGTGAAGAAATGGTCAAATGATTACAGCTTGCAAAGCTATTTATACAGAAAAGGGAAAAATATGTCTAAAAAGCAGTTCTAAGAACACAATCATTAAAAATAAAAGTCTATATTTGGGACAAATTACTCTTCATGTTTCCTTTATTTGCTGCTGATACAGAGCTGCTGAGTCAGAACAAACAGGTCAGCGTTGTTTTAATTCTGTGTTATGGGAGGATGGCAGAAAAGCATCATAGATACTTTTTCATCCACTTTCAATAACTGGAAAATAAACTGCAGTTGTTTGTCAAGCATCTGGAGGGCTGGCAACGCAAAACAGGAAGAAAATGGTAACCACAGTGTTACCCATTTCTTTTCCTTAAGGTTTCTCTGTTCAAGGATATTTTAAAACTAATCCTGAAAGGCTTCAATGCCAGATTGCTGAAAAAATGTTGGCATACAAATGGTAAGCTTTGGTCTGAGTGAATGCTGTTAAAATGAGCTGACTTCCATCTTGTGAGATGCTGATGAACAAGTGGCTGCTTCTAATAGCTTTGGTTCTGATTCTGTATTCTACAAATCTGTGATTCCCTATGAAACTGTAAAGAAAAGATCATTCTTCCCTTTTGCAATTTAAAGAAAACAAGTGCTAACAAAGGCAAATAAGTACAAAAGCATGTTGAGGAGCTTCTATCTCAAAAGTTTTGTGCTCATCAAGTACTCTGTTGTTCTGTAGGTTGTTCTGTAAGACCAGATTGTGTTTTGCTGGGTTTTATGGCTTGTTTTCTCTACTGTGTCCTTTTCACCCTGCCTTTCCCTCTCATGGTTTTTACAGATAATGACGAATAAAGCTGACTCAGGAAACTCCTTAGTGCTGCACGACACATCAGTGTTCAAAGTCTGCACAGCAGGGTAACAGATTGTAATGAAAGTGTAACATGGGGCAGGAGAAAGAAGAGCTGGAAAGAAGAGTGCTGACAGTATGAAGCAGAGAGGAAAAAGATGCCTTTTACATTCAGATATGTATACACTTCTCTTGTGTGTTTTGCATATGTGGTCATTAAATATTAGATGCCTAAATTTGAAAAAACAAGCTATAATATCTCTTTCTCTTTCTCTCAAAAAAAGGAGTAAATGTAGCTGTTCTGATACAAAACCAATGCCTACAAGGTAAACCTGAGTTCTTGTCATAGCAGCAGCTGGCTGATAGGGTTATGGAGCTGGAAGGATTACAGTGTTGTGAAAGCTGCCATCTCTAGCTGTTCATTTGCCTACTTAAAGTAGTCCTTCTGTACACCTACGTAAAGAAACTGTTTGTTTTTATTTGACCCCTGTGTTTGTATTTTAATAGCATCCTAATCTGGTGGTCCAGTTTCACTATTTCACTTTTTTCTTAATAAAATGTATTTTGAAGCTAATGACTTCTGTCACTTCTTAAGTGTCATCTGAAAAATCTGACAGGCATAGTTTCTAACTGAAGGCAGACTGGTATTTCAGTTAGCGAAACACTTGAGTGTTTTATTTTAGAGGCAGTGCAATTAACATGGAGCCAGAAGGCTTCACTTATATTCTTCCTCTGAAAATCCCAAGTATTTACACTTGAAGTTTTGCCATCCAGTCAATGATAATGCAGAATATTGTTGAAAGATGTTTTCTCTCCTGTTTGTTTTTAAATTCTTATTGTTATTTTCTTGGCCTCACAGCCAGAGGGGAAGGTGTGAAGTGTTACAGGCCAGAGTGCTCCCTGGCTGGTCATCTTTTGGGCCATGTTTGGTAGCTTTGTATCTTCCACCCCTGAAATTAATGACCCGACCCACCTTTTTGTTTCTCCTGTCAAAGCAGTGCTGTAGGAGCCAACATGAGCTACATTGTTTTCGCATCATCACTGCTGAGGTTCAGTTGGCTTATCCATACAATAAGTCTCCTGTTGCAAACCCAATGAACTGTCAGGCTTCCAACTGTGCCCTACTGAAGAAAATAAAATGTTTTTTCCAGCTAGTGTAAGATACAGCAATATGAAACTGCCAGCTTTTCCACCAAGTAACATCAGGTAGACATGATTTAGAACGGATGTGTACGTGTTTTCTGTATAATGGCTTTGTGGAGTTATGATTGAAGTTTCACCTGCTGAAATGTGGTATTTTTTTAAATGTCTGATTTAAGGTAGACCAAAAGGACTCGATTTCAGCTGTATCATGGGAACCTATGGTGAGAAATCTAAAAAAAAGATTGCCTGTTTTACTTGCCCTTAATATGCTGGTTACATTTTTGTATGTGTATTTACCTGATGAACACCTCTTGCTTTATCTGGTGAGGAAATACAATCACTGCTGGAAACTGCTGCTGCTGACCTATGCTTCATCTTTTTAAAGTTTTCCATGCTGAATGTTGGTCCTTCTCAGTAAGCTTCCCTTGCATTCCACTTTTCTTCAATGAGATCATAGTGGAAGGATCCTCATCAGCTTACATCATCCACGATGTTCAGCTAATACAACTCAAAAGAGTTTACACAGACCAAGTCTGCATTATTTTCCTTTTTCAGTACTGCTTTTCAAATTGTATCTTGCACCCTTTAGGAGAAAAGAGGACTAAAATTCTTTAATACAGAGGGATTTTTCTCAAATACAACCTAGGGGTTAGGTTGCGTTCAATTGCTTTTCTATTGAAATCACATCATTACTGACATCCTTCATTTGTTTTGCAGATTGCTGGCTAGCAGATGAAGGCTTTACAGACGTAGAGCTTTTTATCAATGAATGTTCTGAGAAATATGCTTAGACTGTGCACAGCTTTTCAGAGATTAATATTCAGACCTACCAATCAATACTGAATATCCTTGAAAATCCTCAGGAGCTAATTTTAATTTGGCAGTAATTAATTTTGTATGCTAAAGTAATGCCTTCATGTGAAATTGTAGAACTCTATTGAAGAGCCCTGTGCATGAGTACAGTGTAACTGTGTCAGTGATTTCTTTTTAAGGGCAATGCAGTGATCTGCTTGTAGTAACTTATTTGAATTGGTTGAGTATTTGGATTGCATTGATAAAATTGCACTCACTGTGGGTAGCTTTCAGCTACAAATCTAGTACCAAACATACAGAATGGTGGTTTTGGCTCAGAACATCTATTTTGTGTTGTGTCCCTGTCTTCTGGCTTTTATCTTGATCCTTGAAACCAGCTGTAGGTGAGAGAAGGAAAAAGCAATTTAATATATATATGTATTTATAAATATCCAAAACACAACAACAGTAATAGATCTCAGTACCTGCCTGCATTGTGCTGTCCTGCAGATGTGATTACAGTCCTGTCATGAGACTCCTCTGGCAAGGCAAGCTGTGCCATTTATAGCTGTATGTGTGCATTGAGCTTCCTGACCCTCAACTGAATAGAACAAATGCCCACAGCACAGCAGGATCATAAGGAACCTGAGCTTGTAGCCTGTGGCAGGAAGATGAGTCTTGTGCTGTCCCAGCTGCCTTTGTTCTGGGTGGAACAGGTAGACAGTAATCCTACCTAAAGCACTGATGCCTCACGTCTTGTTAGAATCACAAAACCACTCAGGTTGGAAAAGACCTTGAAGATCATCGTGTCCAACCACAACCTGACCATGCTGCCCTAACTCTAACAGCCCTCTGCTGAATCATGTCCCTGAGCACCACCTCCAAACGGTTCTTAAACACATCCAGGGATGGTGATTCAGCCACTTCCCTGGGCAGCCCATTCCAGTGTTGTTGTTGTTGTTGTTTGGCTGTGGGTTTTTTGGGTTTTTTTTTTGTTTTCTTTTTTTGGAAATGGGTGTGAAGTGGCTTTTGCTCTTTGATTTGCTTTACGGTGAGAGTGTATTTAAAGTTACTACTCGAATGTACTTCAAAAAAAGGTGTTACCTGATCAGGCAATGCAAATCACAACCAAAGCACCTCCTTGTTTCTGTGATCTGGAAAGTGAACGGTGAGAACAAAGCTTTCCTCATTCTGTCTGTTCGTGTAGCTGTTTACAGCACTGATGAATTTTTTGGCTCCTACTACTCTTGTCTCCCCCTTGCTCTGATTTGCACAGAAATGCTGTACGTTCATTCAAATATGCTTTCTCAACGTTTCTGAAGTTCTACGACCTTGCACAAATCTGCTGAAAACTCGATACTTCTCCAAGATTTCTCTTTCTACACGTGTTTGTAGGTTAATTACACTCCTCAGAGACAGATGGTCCTCAATTCCACATGGAAGTGTGAGTTCTTAGCACAGTATTTAGCATAAACATTCTGATGTGCCGTACATTTTCTCTATGTTTTCTTCAGGCTGGAGAGCTGGGTGGGAGAAGAAGAGCAAGTGTCAAGCAAGCTTGCTTGCCTTTTTATTTGCTGTGCATTGCTTGGTGTTTGTTTTGTATGACAGAATCATTTAATTGCCTCTACGAGAGCTGAAATATTGGGATTGGGGTTATGTCGTGTACAAAATGCTTCCTGGTGAGCAAAGGGCTGGTTTTCCAAGTCAAGATTAAAATGCCTGTTACACACTTGAAAGTTACACTTTCAAAGGAAAATACGTAAAATATCTAATGATATCTAAGTACAGCAAATATCTAAATTATTTCTTAAATACTTGTGTTTCTTGATGTGTTAAATAACGTGCCTCTATGTTTTATAAATCAGCTATTAAGTTTGAAGCAAACGACGTCACTTTCATTTCTTGGTGGGTTACGGTGGGTTGGTGGGTCGACTGATACTTATTTTCATTTCGTTCTTGCTCCTTTAAGCAAGCATGTAACAGAGATCTGATCTCTTTAAAGCAGAGCAATTACAGAAAACAAGGTTTTGTCCATCAACTGGTCTTCATGGCACCCCTCCTACTAACAGAGGTGCTTTCTGTTCAGCACAGCAGTCGAGGCGAGTGCCTCAGTTTCCGACCTTCGTTGCAGAAGTACAGCAAGAAGCCTTATTTCACACGGCGTGTATTTTATGGATCTAAAGCCTTGGGAGGACGCGAGCGATCGTACGATTCCATGATCTCCGCCTGCCTCCTCTTTCCCTGCCTGGCAGCGGCCGGACCCGCGTGCGCCGCTGTTTCGCCGCGCGGCCGCGAGGTGGCGCCATAACCGCGGGACGCCGTACACGGGAGCAGCGGGGGGGGGGGGGGCGGCGAGCTTCGCTGTGCTGAGCGCGATCCGGTGTGAGGAGTCGGCTCCTGGAACTTGGTGCAGTTGTCTCTCCTTGCACGTGGCCGTGCTCGTGTTTGCTGGGCCCTCCTTGGGGTTGGCTCTGTCCTGCATCAGGCACTTTTTGCTTGGCTGATGGATGGTCTCTTAGGGACCGCAGGCAGCCAGGAGAAAAGAAAGTTCAGTTTTAAATAGCACTGCGGCTCAAGCTGATGCAGATGTGCTGCGAGTATAATGGCACGATAATCCCCTCCTTGACATCCCCTATTTTCTGCTGTGTCCTGCAGGCAGTCCTGACAGTAATCTCTAGGGGAAGGGATGAAGCGTGCATTTTTGCTGATTCCTGAGCACGGGATAAAACTTCTTTCTATTCACATTTGAGGCAAAAATTCTGCCGTCCTCGCTCTGCCGATAAAACGTGAAGCTTCAAGCAGTGCTTTAGGGCTGCTGTTTTTACTTTCTATCAGTTTCCCCATCAGCAGTCAGGAGCCCCCGCTGCTGTTAGTTTTATTGCTTCTAGAGCTACTTTCAGTGTTACCACAGTAATTTTCAAGCGGTACAGGGCCTTTTCTTCTGAAGAACAGAGCGATCTGATGGGGATATGGGAAAGAAAGAAAGCTCGAGGTACCATTAACGATTATCAGAGCTTTCTCCACTGCAGGGCTGTCCTAATCTCTGATCGCTGCTCAAGTCAGACAGTCTCCTGATGAACTGCCCTTGCTGTCACACTTTCTCACCTGTTGTTTTGCTTCCTATTGACCTGTAACAACTGCTCATAAAGGTGTCTAAAGGACAGCACACGTCTTATTTGCCAGTACCGTAGAGCCCTTTGTTCATCCTTTCCCCCTGATGTTAGTTTGGAGAACTTAAATGGTACCTTGGAGTACTTTACCGTTGTTCTTCAGCCTTTCTTAGGGAAAACCAGAGGGTGGAAATGATCGTGGCAGTTTAGCTTCTCTGCAGCACACATTTGGATTTCTGCTGGACATGTTGTCGTGCTTTTATAATTGTGATATGTTAGTGTTTTCTAGTGTTTTCTGCTTAACAGATGTAAAGCCTCAGAAAAATAAACCTTCTAAATAATAGTAAACATCGATGACGAATTCTTTCCACTGCACTAAAGCATCTTTAATGCAATCCTTAGCCATTACCAATGAAGTATCTTTTTTCAGCTGTTGACAAGCCTGATTGAGCAGTGTAGTGTCCTGTTCTACCCTGGACTTCAGTATGTCAGTGCTCACAGTGCCCTAAATAACTCAACTCCCTGTATTCACTTAATTCCCCAGAGCACTTCCTTTTCTCAGATGTCCTCTCTTGCTTTCTCTGCACTGGGCAATCTTGTTTGTCCAGGAAGAGGCTCCAGCAAACTCTGCCTGGAACAGACAGCAGGGTTAAGTGTTGCCAGCTGGGAAAGGGAGCAGCGTTCAGTCCTGTCCCACAGCATTTGTTAACCTTGCGGTGATACTGCAGTAACTACTGGGCTTGGAAAGGCAGTAGTTAGATTGTCTCTATAAATATCAGCATCTATCTGCGCACGCAGCAGTGGAGCGCGGATGAGCCCTGCGATAAAGCTTCCCCTCCTCACAGTGAAACTTAAACTTCAGAGATAAACAGCTGAGTTCTGTCAGATCTCACTGTGACCTGCGAAGATTCTTTGGTAGTGATTATTGGGACCAGCAGGACGAAACGTGTGCTTACCCTCGTGCTTGAGCTCAAAACACAGCACCCTCGATTGAAGTGGATGGATTGGAGCCAGGTCACCTGACTCCGAGCTGCAGTCAGCGAGGCTCCGAGCTCATCTTCAGTTGTGTTTATTGTGCTGAGGGGAAAGCAGTGTCCATCAGAAGGGTGGGTTGCCACAGGTGGAGGCACAACTGAACCGCTTTGTTAGGGCTGCTGGAGCTCATCTGTTAAGGGTGATCTAAGGCTGGAAGAGAAAATTACATGTGAATACGGAATGAAACAGGCTTGCTTGGGGAGCACGAGGTGTGCAGTGCAGAGTGTTTCTCTGGCATGAATCAAGTGCTAAAGGATGTACCAAATACTGGGGTGTTTTTGATTCCTGACTCGATTTCTAAACTAGAAGTTACTGAGGCCTAAAATCAGTCAAATAAAACAACAGGGAAGCCTTGTCTGCTTGTCTTGCATCCGTTTCTTCCTAACATCGTTATAGTCACTCACTCACTGCCTTTTCTGAAGGAAGCTGGGAGAAAAGGGCTGAGCACAGCCCTGATGACGTGAAGAAAAACACAGAAGGAAGCAGCAGGGAGGCCAAAGTTTCGACCACTCTTCCTCCTTTACCCAGGAAAATTTTGGTGACCTCTTGCCACCTCCCACGGGAACCTTTAAACTGACAACAGCGCTTGCCAAGTAAATACAGAAGATTGCATTAAAACAGGATGGTTTCTGATTTAATCCTCCTGCAGTTGGTGAAAGCAAGTTCAAGTTCCCGCAGCAGCTACAGCACACCGACCTCATTCATCCAGGCGGCAGTAAATGCGGGTACAGAGCAGGACTGCTTAATAAGAATGCTCACAGGCTGATGGGAAAGCAGCACGCAGGAAAACACCTAGCAGGAAAACACCTAGCACAGGCCGTTTGCTGACAGCTGTGTTGGCCACAGCTGCCTCACCTATGTTTGAGGACTGTGGCATCCTTTGTTTCTTGTAGGTGTGTCCTCAGAAGAAGAGTGGTGATAGAGCTGCGTTAGCGATTTGGAATGATGCTTGCTGACAGGTTTCACACGTTGTTGGTGCCCCAGTCACATCCATACTTTGTTTTCTGTCACGTGTGAGAAAATAATTCCATAAAATGAGTTTTACTGTAGCTTGTATAACGTGTGTATTCAAGCAGAATTTAGGGGCTGATTCTTAGCGACAGAGATGGAATCCAGCTGCCTGTTTTCTTTGGCCCTGAGAGTCAGATCGATATGATTTACATTTTCAGAGCAAAGGAAGAGCTGGAGGGGTGGTTTTGAGGGATTTTCTTCTTTTTGCTTGCCTTAGTAAGTAAATATTTTACAGACCAAATCCCCAGTTCCACAGAATCGGTGACTCCAGGCTGTGGGAGAATATAAGTAAGCACAAAGGCTGGAATTTATTGCTAGTAATGATCTATGAGATAAGATTTTCAACTGAACTAGAGCAGAGAGCTCAATTGCCAGATGTGTGGGAGTGAAAGTGACACAAATTCACAAACACACACAAATCTTTGGCAATCCCAAAGCGCTTCCATAGGCCTATAGCGCCAGGAGCCTCGAGGAATTCATTTTGTGTCTCACTGTCTTCATCAACTTAAAAGCCAAGTCCCAAGCTTTATAAAAGACATCCAAAGTACTGCCACGAATACTTCATACATTTATCTCACTTTCTAAATCTTATTATAGACAAAGAAAGGGGTTTTTTGGTCTGAGTTTCCCTCCTTTGTAAAGAACCCTAGGAGCAGAATGACAGTGAATGCAAAAAATCACTGGGGAGTTTGTCCTTGAATTCACCCACTATCATCTCAATGTCATTCAAACTTTTTCAGTGCTCCATCTAAGCAGCTTTTCTTTCAGAGTCACGTTTTCCATTGGAAACCCTTGCTTTTTGCTTGTAACCTATCACCGATGGGAATGGATGGTATGGTGCTCACATCCCAACCTCTGCCTTCAATCTTATCTGCCATTACCAGAGACTGTAGATGTGTGAGTCCATAAAAAAGAGCTTCCGTGTCCTTTGGACGATGCAGCGAGTATCAACCTGTGCTAATGAGCGTGCAACTTTCCTTCTGTCTGTGTGTTCCAAAAAAGGATGCTGCAGTCAAAGAAAATGCTTTACGGTGGGATAAGACCTCTGCTTTCACTGGCTTTGGATGAAAGTGACAGAGCAGTTTATATGCTGTAACTTACCATCATTTCTCATACTTCAGTAAACAAACCCTAACAAAACCCACTGCGTCACTCATATTTTGATACCACAGCAGAGCTCTGTAAGTGCGGCAGAGACGTTTGAAAAGTAAACACACTGATAATTCTACTTGCTTGTCAGATAGCTCTGCACAGCAGGCAGTTTTAGGAGGAGAAAAGCTATTTTAAGGAAGTAAATCTTTTTGAAGAAACTAGCTGAGCATGCTTTTAAGAACTAGCATTACAGCTCAAACAGATTTTATGTTATTTTTTTGGCAGGCTATCAAACTATTGCAGCACTCACAATACTAAAATGGCTTAATTTAGAGTTTAAACAAGCTGCAATGAGTTTCATGTGCAAGGATGGCACGTGTTTGTCCTGGAGCATCTTACAAGTCTCTGATCCTAAGCCTGGGAGTGTGGCACAGCTCTGTACACCAGGACTCAGTTCTGGGATGGAATCAGACCAAGCGAACTCCACAGCAGAGGAGATGCAGGCAAAGGGAGGGCGGCGTTTTCTGACAGATCTCTTGATTTGAACGATGGGAGGAACTGCAGGAGGCACCCTAAAATGCACACAAACGACATTATAGATATGGCCTTACTGTTGCTATGTATTTTTTAACAGCAGTT